TTTAGTTAATTATTAATTGAAATATAAAAATATATGTTTAGTATTGATCCATAAATGGATCTCAAAGTTACCATTCATTATGCTTATCGCGACCTAACACATCTTTTTTTGAAGATCCGGCCCAACACATAGGTCATAGAAACAGGGAGCAGCAGCCTTCTGGGGATCCGGTTTTTACTGGGAATGGATCTGCCAGTCGACCTCTATGCACCACTATCTATTGCAGCCCGTCAAATGAATTTTGTATGATGTTGACGATATTCTCAACTACACCACAGTATCGAAGACGGTTACGTAATGTTCTCCTATCTAATTTGTCGAGTGCCTTCTCATTGTTAAGGAAGGTGATGTATAGTGACGAATCCCATTCTATTGACTGTTCAACAATGATCCATATTGTCGTGATTTGGTATGCGCACGACCGGTTCATACAGAATCCAGCCTGTTGACCTCGTAGTTGGGCGTCTACTGAATCTTTTATCCGGTCCAGTAACACTCTATTGGGAACATTTCCTGGTACTGATAGTAGTGTGACACCTTTATAGTTCTCACACTTGCTCAGATCTTCTTTCTTTGCTATCTTGGTGATGTACCTTTCTTTCTAGTCTATCGGCACACGTTCTTCCTCCAAATCTTTCTGAATAAAATGTGGGGCATCTGTGAAGTTACTTCTATGTCTGAACTCATTGCTTCATCTTGTATGTTGTCTAGTTCTCATGCTTTGATACTCTTGGTTTTTCTGATAACCATGCTGGTTTCTTCGATTGTCGATGTGACAACATAGATAGGAAGGTAGTGATCTCACGCGAGGTCAGTTTTTCTCTTTGTTTCAGGTCTTTTATGGATCTTCCGAATTTTTCAGTGGTGACGATCTTCGATTCTTAGTTTTCAAGGGCATAATTTTTAGAATACCAAACTGAAACAGCGTAAACTGAAAGATGTACGAGGTAAAAATTATGAAGAAGCAATTTCAAATAAAAAGTAAAATAAACATAACAAAATTACAGTGAAAATAACGAAATTCAGTATTACAGTTATCACTTGGTCAAATATTCTCTTACTATACCATTAACATTACAGCTTATTCGAAATGCGACAGTTATGAATTCGAACGAAAGAATGAAAACAAGTCTTCCAATGTTATGGTTAATATCGCAAAAGCAATTATGTTCGCTCACAAAGAAATCAAAACTCTCGTTAGCATCACTGTAGATGCATTCAACCCAGCAATCGGAGTAGACCTACAACAATATCATAAAAACACTTTTCAGTTTAGCCTGTAGGGGAAAGAGAACGATGAAAATCTTTCTTCAGCTTTTTTGTTGGACAGTACTGTAATTTATTTGTTTTTTCTCCCTGTCGTGCATTTTAACCTTTGTCCGGATCTCGTTTAACCACCTTTTGTTCTTCAGTCTTTCTCGTGTGAGATTTTATTACGTGATTTTAATTAAAGACTTATCTTTTTTACCTAATTTTCCATTGCCTGTTGCCGGACTATTGACAGTAAGGTCGCGCTTGATCAAGCTCAAAGTCACGGCGTGATTCAGTGTTTGAAAGTCAACCTTTTGGCTGTCTGCTTGGGAGGATTGCTAGGATCCCTGCGGATAGATATTTGATACCTGTTGTTGGGAATATTTTTGTTGATTCTCAGGTGTCGAACTCTTTGGTTTCAACTGTTTATTTTTTTGTTTAGCGCGCTACTTTGCGTTAGAGAAACCTTTGACAGTATAGCACAGGCTGTACCGTTTGATGTATTTTGTACTTTTGATATTATTTGTTTTATTTTCTAAATTAGAACCATTTAAATTAAGCACGGAAATGTGTTTTGATATAATTTAGTACGAGTATCCCAAAAAACCTTTGTACGCTATACAGAAGTACGTAGTCTAGCCTATACGAGTAAAGTTTTGTTGGTCAGTCCTGCGTTCAAATCGAAAACTCGCAGTTTGCTCATTACACAGCCATTCTTATTTGAGCGATTGGTAGACGATGAATCAAGGTGTAATACTTTCACTTTGGGACTTTTATTCATGTTCTATACTACACTGTTTAAGCCTCGTATATTTTGTGAGATTTGTGTCGAAATGTAATCTAATATTGCGGATTTATCATTAGATGATTGCTCACACCAATGTCTATACTGACTCGTCTTACGGTGTCTACCAGTAGCAAATTTTATATTGACGTTTCAAGAGCAGGTTTTGGCAGGAGATAGAATAATATGTTTTATATAAGGGGCATGGATTAATATAGAGTTACCACACCTGCATGGCAAAGTCAGTCAGTCTTGATTAAGTGTACTTATGTTCACATTTGCTTACCCTCAATTTTTCATCGTTTAACGTTAGTCATATCACTTATTGTATGGTCAGCACTAAGGATCATACAGTTAGTATCTGCTATCATCACAAGCCCGCCCCCTTACTAACTGCAAACCTCTTACCTCGTCGCCATTGCTAACATTAATGACTTTGACTGTCGTGTAAGTGTAATAGGTCACTTTTGGCCTGTTCGTGCTGTGCATAATTGATTTACGCTATTATTGGTCGGAATAATTATACATGTAACGTGAATGGTGCAAATTGTGCACCAAGGTGCCTGGTACCTGTATGGTTGCTTCACAGGATTAGACTGTCTTATTCAGATTGTGGCGTTAATGCCTATATGGTTTCTAGTTCTCCTGTGAATTGGGATTCAGCCGTATTGCTCTAGTTATAAAGCTTAATCCCGGATGGTGTCTGGTTCTCCTGCTGAACGTTATTAAGCTGTACTGTTTGACTTGATACGTGGATGGTTTCCGGTTCTTCTGATAATTACCGTGGCCCACAAAGCTATATTATATAAATAATATAATGTGACAAATGTACTTCAAGGATCACTTTATTGTGGGCACTCTCCTATTTAAGAAGCCAGAGATCTAAGATGTTAAGACCCAACAAATACCCCCTGGGATACTTTTCAAATCCTGACGCTTGTTTCGATCATATTCATCTTGATTTGGTAGGGCAGATATTCAAGGAAATATTCTTATATTTCAACGTGTCTGGACCATGATATTATTTCACATGAGTGATTTGTGACATTCACTTATATCTTCACTCTTATTCTCCTGGACGACTGGAAAAAACGAAAAACCGACGAGAAAAACAATTATTCGTAGTTTTCATCGTACATTCCCTGACATTCTTTACCATAATCCACTTGACTGTTTGAAGATCATTTCCACCGTAATATGTAGCTTTTGTAGACCTCAAAGACTACATTTTGGAGCGAAGAGTCTTTCCTTTTAGTAGCTATGATAGAGTCTCTTTCTTTGATGAATATTTAGCTATTCTGAATCGTAGTACAAATGTAGTTAACCCCCTCTTCAGTTCATCTTTGAATAGCCAATTTGTGTCCAGTAATCCTTAATACTGAGACTTCAGTGGAGGTGTACCACAACGTTCGAACTTAAGGGTCTCTAGTTCTTGAGTGCAATAATGAACACTATACTGTCTTTGTCAACAATAAAGTCGTGAAATAAACTGAGGGATGAACATGAACGCTTTTGAATATGAACATTATTTTTTGAGATGGTGGTGGTGGTAAATCAAGAACAAGCTAGATGACTTGTATATTTATCTATCTTTGTGAATTTTTCAGCTTTACAAATCTTATACAGCTTCTACTAAGTTATCAAGGGTCTGACGCATTCATCGACGTATAACATGAAAATTTAAGGCAATTCTCAGGCCTTGTCATCCTAATTCAAGAATTAAAAATTAAGATTACTTATTGAAATTTACGATTCTTTTTAGAACGTTATATCTTTAAGGTTATTTTTTACCCGCGTATTTTCAACAACATAGAAACGTGTAAACATGATGAGTTTAAGTCTTAAAGGTTCTCAAATAAGCCCATGCAAGTCAGGAATTAGCAGTTCTCGTTTGACTGCAAGAACGTATAATGTAATTTGTAAAATATTTTGTATTTCATTTAACCAACCTTTGGTTTTAAATAAGTATACTTTAAAACTCAAAACATGTAAGAATATCTTTCTTTTGCAGCTTTTCTCAAAATATGTATTGCCATATAATAACAAGCAAACAAGTAAGAGGGAAATGTCATGGAGTTTCTGGAGAACATTTAAAGATATAATGGATAAGTTTCTTGAACAATATTTTCAAATTAAAGTGTTTTCTTAAAGTTCAGACACTGTGTTAAGAATTTGTTTCTTAAGACTAACAGTTAATGCTTCATTAATTACTTGTTTATATTCTACTACTTTGTTATCAAATTTTCGATGTTTAAATTAAAGCTTTAATTCAAGAATTCAACCTAGACTGTCATATTAAGATTTGCCTTCAGTCGTTTTTTTTCCAGACGAATGAAGGCACAATGTTGTTATCGTCGTAATTTTGGAAGTTTGTAATGTTAATAAAAATTGCCTAGTGATCTGTTTTACAGCAACACGTTTTTTGTGAAGAGGAGAATAATCATATTTATCATTTGAGTCTTTCCTTTTGTCGTTTCGTTAATCGACCATAGCAATTTGTCTAAATAACTGTGATGTATGATAGCTGACACGATAAAGTTTCATTCCTTCTTCCTGGTAGACTAATAATGGAGGCATACTTTACGTTTGATTGTTAAGCTTTGCAGTATAGTATAGTTCAGGTTTCTTACTGACTTCTTCATATGAGAATTTCATATCGTTTTGAGTTGCTACATAAATGTAAATTTGTAAGAATTGCTGCCGCAAACAACTCATAAAATAACCATAATTTATACTCTTTCTTGAATATATTTTGATTGATACTTTCATTTACTTTGAAACTCTGTTGTGTTATTGACCTTTGATTACTGTCATTCAACCCAACTTCAGTAATTGGCAGAAGTTCTGCATTTTTATTTTTAAATACGACTTTAGTAATATCATCAAGGAAGCACAGAGTAGTCCACGTATACGTTCACATTTCAATTTTTCCTTAACGATAGCTGAATACTTGATAATGTTTTATCACAATTTAAAGCTTCGTTTCTACTGATAGATTTACTCAAATCGTCCAACATCCTAGTTACCTCAAAATAATCTGCATATAACCCTGTATTTTCAGTATGTGTTGTTTACTTGTTTGATGGCTAAAAATTGATTGAACTCTTTTAAATATTCTTAACTGAAATTTATCGTCCGTGAAGTCAGCAACAATGATGTTGTTTGTGATAAGAATAAATAGCACATTTTTAACCAATGGTCTAACAAAATGGAATAAAATACAAAATACTCTGTTTTTAGTCGTACGGTTTCACAAAATTATTGTAAAGCACTGTAAGTTAACATGTTTTTAATAATACTTTTGTGATGGAATAACCTTTGAACTTTTGTTTATTTTCCCGCTTAATCGTCACTTTATTTCATAACAACTCTTAGGTCCTAATTTTTATCTTTTTTTCACGTAAAAAGATGTGACAACTTAGGTTGCTTAGCCTCTGAACGATGCATCTTTTATCTCATCAATATCTCACCGGTTTAAAATGTAATGCTAGATTTTTAAAGAGAGTGATACAAAATGTGCATTCAAATCCATAAAAAAACATGCTTTTTCACCTCCAAGAAGCAGGTTTTAACCAAAGGTAGCCTAAGTTCCTGTCCAAGTGAACTGTGACTGTGTTTCAACAACTTAAGAGTACATGGGGTGTGAGAAGTTCAAATGAAGTATGACGCAGAAGGCAATACACAAAGCTATAATTGATGACCGTTTTATGCACATACACATCTTGATTTGAATATTATTTCATTAAATCATAAATTTGAAATTTGTACTTCAGGACCACTCTCGAACAAGAAATGCAACGGAGATTATTAGAAACAACAAAAATCCCTTTCGAGGCCCAGAAGTTTCTTCTAGTACTTCAGAACCATTGGTTGAACGAAAGTTGGAATCCCCTGATAATTTAATTACTAACGATCATGAAAACCCGCTCATCGATTTCAATAACACAATTCACACCGATTCACTAACATTTAGGAGAGATAAATGTAGTCCATGGTCGAGTAACTCAAATGATAAAAGTGTTTCAAGGTGGCTTGAAAAACATTTTCATGATCAAAACGACAATGATTTTAAATGGGACGGTCAACATGATGTAAGTGGAAATCCATCTATCTGAACTAAAACAATTTTCAGTATATGGTTGTAGAGACTGTTGAGTTTTTACTGAGATCATGAACCGATCGGTGTTGGACCAAGATTGAAAACCTATAAGCACTAGAAGACCGTTTTGTCAACACAGTTTAATTTTCTTTTGCATTTAATTGCCTATACAATTACGTTATAATAACTGAGGCTTTAAGGTTGATCTAAGCAAATTACTGCCTCACTCAAGGAGATTAATTAATCGTAAAATAATGTTGAGTTAGATTTATCAACGATTTAGGATTCTGGTTCACAGTTCACAATATTTTAGTTGTCAGTGAAAGTTTGATTAAACTATGGCTACTCATAAATGCTAAAGAGGTGGCAATTTGAAACAAAAATGTGTATAGATTTTAGGCTTCGTCTACGTTTTGATAAGTATAATTTCTCGAGACGTTGACAAAGTCACTACACTACTTTGTGAACACAACAGAATGTTGATAAACGATAAAGTTTGTGTATAATGTGAACCACCTTGTCTCACACATCCAACAAACTTGGTAAATTTTCCAAAAAACTAGTACAAAAAATATTGCTCTTGGAAGGGAATTTTATGAAAGGCATCGTTTTACGAGCTTTCAAAAATCTGTATCATTATGAAACGATTTATCTGATTTTTAGTTATAACTCTAGAATAGCCACAGTCTTTAAGTTCTTTTGTAAGCAATAATTTTTGACTTTATTTTATGGCTTGCGTCATCGTCTGAAAGTGATAGGGACTGAAGTAGTTGAACACATCAACCGCTTCACTTATCTTGGGAGTCTCATGAGTAATGATGGTCTGGTGTCTGACAAAATCTCGACATGGAGTGAGAAGGCTCGATTGGTTTATTTCCGACTTGCATCACTTGTGGAGTAGGTGAGAGATCCATCTTCGAAAAAGAGGAGGAGTTTACTGAGCAGCAGTTTTCTCTGTCCTACTTAATGGATGTGAAACATGGCCATTAATATTAGAGGATATTCGTAGGTTACTGGTGTTCGATCATAGGTGCCTGCGAGGCATTGGTCGAGTATTTTTGGACCACGTAGTAAGCAATGCTCTTGTTAGGAATAGAGTACTATTTAAAAATGGGAAATCGATTAATGGGGCAGTAAATCTTCATCAACTGAGGCAGTTGGAACATGTGTCACGTATGCCCAAACACCTCTTACCTCGACAGGCGATATTTTCGAGTGTAGGAGCATTCTGGAAGAAAGCTAGGGGCCACAAAACCAAAATGTGGCGTAATCTTTCCTATAATAACTGATAATATTACTACTGTGGCATGTCCTACTGATGTCGACAAATACAAGTAGTATGTATCATCAATCGAAAGTGAAATGCCTAGCGGCATAAGGTTAAGAAGTTCGTGAAGAGAAGAGAACGAGAACAGAGAGTAATTTGTGTGAAAACGAAGGAACAATCAAGTCTGAGACAAAGTTATTGACATTTTGCAAATGAATTATTTGCCTTGTGGTTCTCAGATTTGACTAAGAAATTCTATAGTTGTTCGTCTAAATACATATGGTTGTCTTCATTGTTGTTCTCGTTCACTACACTACCTCTACTATTCTGCAATTTTCCCTGACAGTTATATCTCCATATACTAATGGAGTGTGGCAATTTGAACATGTGTAAATAAGTACCGGTTCGACGTTGTGATCGACTGACTCAACCGAAAATGTACATGTACTCTTTATGCTGAGTATTATGGAAGACTTTTTATGTCATGATATTCTCAAGTACTTAATAACCTTCTTTATTCGATAATCAATTACTTTGTTAGGATGACATTTTGACACCATGTTCAGACAAAAAAAGTGAAGATTACAAATGTGAACAAAATTTAGAGTTAATAGGGGATAGTTTAGATTTGAATATAAATCCAAGATTAGAAAATATCTGTATGGATTTGAAGGAAGTTTCAGGTGATGATGGTGATTTACAATACACAGATATCAATGAGAAAACAGATACTCCACCTCCATGTTTAGTTAGACCTTCATCTAATTCAATCAATACTGCACGCCAGATAAATGGTTTCAATGATGAATGTAAGTTTAAATAGATTATCCTTTTCAAAAATGGATGCATTTACATTTTGTTATGTGATAATATTGTATGTTTTATTGACTTTTCGAGACTTTTGTTTAATCCCTTAATTATTTAAGGACGGCCGGTTCGTCCTAGTGTGGGGCTCCTCAACAGTGCGCGTGCACAATCCCGCTCCTCGTGAGACTCGAACCCAGGACCTATTAGTCTCGCGCCAGGCGCTTAATCAACTAGACCAGTGATTTGGCATCTAACGGTTTTTCATGGTGGTCTAGCTTCAATTGATTCATGATTTCAACCAGTGAAATTTCCAAAATCTCCACACAATCCCTTCTGATAATAAATATGCATTTGTCTGTGAATTATCATTCTCCTTCTTCTTCTTCTTCTCCTGACCCCATAAAGAATTTTCATCTAACGGTTCGTGTTCTGATATATTGGAGATTGAGGAACAGTATTGGAATCGTACTGGGATATCTGCAGTTGGTCAATCGGTAGAAATTACATTAGCCAGCCCGCGGTCCACAACAGTTTCTGTGTTTATCTTCAATGTTATTTTACTCAGTAGTTCGAACTTGGTATTTCAGAATAACAATCTAATTTAATTTAACATTTTGTAATTTCAATGGTTAGATCATGAGTCAGTTGTAGCTAGACACCACCATGGAAAACCTGGAAGTACCGGATGGCCGTTTCGTCCTATTATGGGACTCCTCCTTGGCAATGTGCATCCACGACCTCGCCCACTGAGAGATTCGAACCCAAGACCTACTGGTTTCGCAGTGGTCTAGCTTCAACTGACTCATGATCTAACCATTGAAATTACTACAATCTCCACAAAACCCCTTCTGATAATATTTTGTGTTAGAATTAATATACAGCTGAAAATTTTATCTAAACTTATCCTGAAACACTTTTATGCCAGTGAATTATAACAAAATAGCCTGTGATAACAAGGAAAGTTCAGTGTTAACTGTGGGATGTTGTTTGTAGGCTGATTTGTTTAGTATATTCGTTATCGATTTGAAATACATACTTTGGTCAGATAGGACTTTGTATTTCACCTACATTTATTTTTTAGTAAAATTGATAACTTCAACTTCTCATGATGATAATCGACGTAATTCCGCAGCGATTGTTATACAAAAATTTTGGAGACGTCATAGAAGAAGATATTTAGCAGCGGAAGCTGTAATGTATCGTTTGATTGATAATCAAAAACGTAGATTAAGTAAACAGAACATAAATAATGGACGACCTATTCAATCAGTTCTACAAAGTCGTCAAAATGAATTAAAACAAAAAAGGAAACAACAACACCAAAATGCTATTAAAGTTGGTTATCTTTAGTTAAAATCAATGTTTTGATTGTTTATATGTTGATTTTATCATTTCTGTGCAAGAACATATTTGCTTTTATCTGTTAGGGATAATTGGAAGAAAGTTAGGGGCGGCCAAACCAAAACGTGGCATCAGTGTTTGAAGTCACTAACTTCTAGTTTGTGTCATGTTGGTAGATTCAGACTACCTGGTTGGGGTCCGCATGACTATCGTAACCAATGGTTGGAGACTCTTAGTGACATGGCTCAGAATTGATCACAATGGCGTCGGTGTATACACTCTCTGTCAATTAGAATTTATCATAATTCTATAAGAAATAATCACACACAAGCTCAATAAATAAGTAACTAAAACTTCTAAATTTCAAAATGGAAGACGTTTCACAATAAGTGGTATTCTTTTCAAAAAGTGTGCGATTGGTCAGATAATTATAACAATAAAATATTTTCAGAAGGGGTTTTGTGGAGATTGTAGTAAACTCAATGGTTAAGATCATGATAATAATCATTATATGCTCACTAGTGACTGGCTTTAAGAGGTATATCCTAGAGTTCTAGTGAGAAGTAGTGACCAATGGAGTTCAACCAGGTTTGTTGTGAGATAGTAACTCACTGAAGACAATGATAGATGTGTCGCTCAATTTCGTGGATTAATTGAAGTTAGACATTAACACCGTTGGATGCCGGCCAGCTCAGTGGTCTAGTGGTTAAGTGCTCTCGCGTGCGAAACCAGTAGGTCCTGAGGCGAGGTCGTGGATGCGCACTGCCAATGAGGAGTTCCATACTAGGACGAAACGGCCATCCAGTGCTTTCAAGTTTTCCATGGCACTCTAGCTTACAATATATGTAATACGTGCGTGAAATCAATGTGATACCGTTTAGTTCATTTTGAAAAACAAAAGCTTTATTAAAAGTGAATATAAGTACCATGGATTTATTAAGATTTATTAGTGTCTTACACTGTATCGTTTTGCGTCATTCAATTTTATAGTCCCAAAATAATTCTCGTTAGATGAACTTTTATAAGTCATATATATTTCTTATAAACCATTATTTGAATAGAAGTATTAGGAACAAAACAATTTTCATTTCAATGCTGTTATGATTTAATGTCCAACTTTCGATCAGATGACTTATCCACCAATTAGAATACGACTTATACAAATCTTCTCACTATGACAGAAGCAATGACGTTCAACCTGTTTGAACAGTCTAGCGTCCTTATTGAGTCCTATGTCCTTCTAACCCGTCCACTTGAGTCCAGAACACAATACGAGCTTCTGTAATATGAATCGAATCGAACCAAATCATTTATTTCAGACATACTCGGTTTATATACATCAATCAGGCAGACCACAACGTAGCAATAAAATAGAAAATAACATGTGTACACAAATAAGCCAAAAGGTGGCTGTGAATTTGGGAGACAGTAAATAATAAATTGAGCATAATTTAGGGACAGTAAATCGTACAATGATAAATTATAGGTCAAAGTGAAGCTTATAATAAAAGGAATATAAATATACATAATCTCAGAAGTTACTCGTGATTGAATCTTCGCCCGGATACAACACCTCCCCCTTTTTTTGGGAATCCAAAAGTTAGATTCCGATTTTTTTTTAAAAAAATATGTGTACATTTATATTCCCTAACATTCTCCTCGTCCAAGAAATAATGTCGGATCTTCATATCTCCAACTTAGAATTACTATGACTTTATTTAAATCATGTTTCTCACATTGAATGAAGAATCCACTAGAAATGGCTAGATAGCTGTTTGATTCGAAGTAATTAAGATTTGACTCTTCTGTAACACTTTCTTCAAATTCATTATGAATCTCAATAATGGATACCAGGTTGTTAGGAAAATCAACATCTAACAAAATTGGATTAGACTTCTGATCACAGCTTGGTTCAGCCGACATATCTTTCTCATTGTTATAAGAAATTTCACCAAAATTATATGCATTATTATTATTATGAGAAACCATACCTGGTACATTGTCATGAGAAATCGGACAAGTTGGTTCACTGTAGTTTTCTGTCTCCCAATGATTTTCAGTATCATTTGATACAACTGGGTTCATCGTATTGCTCCAACTATTTTCTGGATATGATTCCACACAACTTTCTCGATTCATATCACATGAACCATAATTTTGTTCCATCTGAAGTTTATTTTTAGAGTTAGACAAGACTAGAAGTGCTTCATTTAATCCTGAACTTTGGACTTCATCTACGGGATCTGTTTGTTGACCATCTGGTATCGTCGTAATTTCATGTGCATTGAGCAAGATATTGTCTTGTTGTGAACCGGACAATATATCAATATTACATTTTGCTTCATGTATAAAAGGATTTGAACCCTCCACGAAGAATGCTTCTGAAATGTCTATTATTACACCATTATCTGCATTACAAATAGATTTCTTATTTTTTGGTTAAGTCAAAAGTCTGCTCATAACTATTTCAAATATTTGCTGTTGAAAGGCTAACATCTGCTGGTGCTGTTGATGAAGTTGTTGCAACTGTTGTTGATACTGTTGCTGTAATAGTAACTGTAACTGTTCTAAAGAAATCGCCATATTTTTTTTTACTGCTAACAATAATATTAATTCCAAAAAAAAAAACAATCACCGGCAATTATTACAGCTTATTTCTTTCCAAAATCTTAGTCACCATTTGTTGTATTACCTTATTTTTACTTGCCAAAATCCCTGTCGCCAATTTGTTATAGTTGGAAAGACGTTTAAATGATAGAAAATGTATTTAACTAGTTAGTTGAATTGTGAATGATACTTTTTCATTGAGATCATGAACCTGAGTTCAAATCCTACATGCAAGATTGTGGATAAGCACTTGTGAAGAGTCCTAAACTAGGACGAAACGGCCTTTTACTGCTCATAGGTTTTCAGTGATTGTCTAACATTATCGGTTTTCTGATCTTCTTAAAAGCTCAATAATCTTCACAATTCTACACTGATAATGTATTTGTTACTTTCCAGTCTTTAGTTAATAATTATTCTTTAGTTTAAAGTTTTAAAGTGCTAGAGTAAAACAAGTTATGGTAGTTTCAATAGTTAAGATCATGAGTCAGTTGAAGCTAGACACCACCATGGAAAACATGGAAGCACTGGACGGCCGTTTCATCCTATTATAGGACTCCTTCTTGGCAGTGCGCATCCACGACCTCGCCCCCCCCCCCTTTCTGCAAGATTCGTACCCAGGATCTATTGGTTTCGTGCACGCGAGCACTTAACCAAATAGATCAGTGAGTTGGCCGGTATCCAACGGTTTTTTATGATGGTCTAACTTCAATCGATTCATGATTTCAATCACAAAAACCCCTTTCTGACAAGTTCTAGTATTGAACTATTCATTTATATAATCGATAATTGGGAATTTTTTTTCTAAACCACACTCTGATAAACTTATTCATTATTATTTATAAGATTTTTCAACAGAATCGATCCAATAAAAGTTCACAAAGACAAGAAACTTTCAAAGATAAAACAGAAATAAATCATGTATCTGAATCAATTCTTATATCTGATAACCAACATCATCATCATCATATAAATGAAGACAAATCAAATATATTAAATAAGCCTATATTAACTACTAATGATAATCAATGTAAAACTTGTCATCCTGATATTCCTATTAATACAGTAAGTTAATAATTCATATAAACTCTGTGATTTATTTAAACTTTCTTTTTTTTTATTTTTTTTTATTCTTTTTTCTTTTTTTTCTTTTTTCTCTATTTTTCTCTTTTTTCTTTTTATCTACGAGAATTCAATAGTTTTTGTTTTACATCATAAAATTTAATGACACTTTTAATTAACTATTATAATTTAGTAGTTAGCCTTATATTATTATACGTCACTCCTACTATTGATTTTTATCTGATCCTATTGTATTTGTTAGATCCTGTATTATTTAAATAGTATAAATAATATACTCTCTATTTGAACATAATGTCAATATCATTAATTCATATGTTATTGATTTAAATACAAGCTCAGATCAATTTCTGAATGTAGATAGTGATGTATGATATATGCTACTTATTATATAGACATAAGTAGTATATGATGTTCAGTCGTGAACAGAATGTCTGACAGTAGAGAGAGACAAGAGTATGGAACAATAAAGAATGAAGACAGATTGTAAATTGTATGAAAATGCAAGAACAAAAAAAAAAAAAGGGATTCTAAGTCATTTTAAGACAATTGATGGACATTTTACAAATTGACCATTTACTATATATGGTTCTCAGATTTTATTCGATTATCCCCTCCTTGTGTTCTTGTTCATTACAATATTACATAGTGTAATATTAAACATAGTTTCAAGCATATGAACTGTTACTTAATTTAGTTTCTACACCTAAACCAAGTTAATTATGTTTGAGAGAAAACAGATTGATCAATTTGTAATACTGAATTCTTGAATTTATATGGTGAATAACTTAAAATCCCACTCATATTCATATTGGGAATTAGAAGGACATTGTAATAATAATATATCAGTCTAGTCACTTTTAATTCAGTAAACGGTTGTACAACCATCTCAGAATATAGTCCTTAGCCACAGACAAAACAACTAAGATGCCAGAATAACAATCAGTCAACTGACTTATCGAAATATGATTGGTTAAATACGAATATAAATATATTAATTTGTTGATAACAATTTATTAGAAGGGGTTTTCTTGAGAATCGGTAATTTCAATAGTTGAAATCATAAGTCAAATGAAGCTAGACACCATTATGGAAAACCTGAAAGCACTAGATGACCGTTTCGTCCTAGTGTAGTACCCCTAAGCAGTGAGCATTCAAGATCCCGTCTAGAGAGATTCGAACCCAGGACCTATTAGTCTTGCACTAGGTGCTTAACTAACTAGATCACTGAGCTGGCCAGCATCTAACGGTGTTAATGTTTAACTTCAACCAATCCACGAAGTTGCGCCACCGTGGATGGACACTTCTGAGGAGTCCCATACTAGGACAATATGGCCGTCCAGTGCTTCCAGGTTTTCCATGGTGGTGTCTAGCTTCAATCGACTCATGATTTCAACTATTATAACAATTTACCCAATGCTGAATTTATTCGAAATTATTAAGTCAAACCTTGGTAATGATTCCTAAAAAGACTGATTAGAATAACCAGATGTTGGGAAAACTGAATGCCAAATGATATACGTTTTCGAAACCAAACATAGGCCTCCCATTATTCATGCGTAAAGATACTACTCTTATTTCTTAATTTATCTGTAATGTATTTCTTGATCATGGATTAAAAGTGACTGCTAATTTAGCTACTTAGTTCATGTTTTTTTCTTAATTCAGTCATATTTTGTTTCCATATACATTCGTGGAACAACGTTAGGGAGTATTTATTCCGATACTTCGATTCCTTTTCGGATCCGTATCACGTTCAGTTGAATCAAAGCTACAATATGCAGCTTTAGGTCATCAGGTAGAAATTATGATTTATAGTTACATTCATCTAATATTCACCGATTGATCACTAATTCTTAGTCAATTTTATGTTTGTTTTGTCCATAGTATTGAGACAGTTTACTGATTAAATTGGGATGTGTTCACTTGTTCACGTGACTTGACACAGTGTGCACATTTTCGATGTTAGGTTGTTGAACCATGTACCGAGATATAACACAATGTCGGGCTTATCACCATGGGGTACTAACAATCTTGAGGGAATTGATACGCCACGGGCCTTTACGTTTCTTAAACTGAGCAGTTCTGTTTTCGAGTGACCTATGTATGTCTCAAACATTTACATCTGTTCATTGCTGAGCATTGGTTGAATTCACGTCTGCCTAGTCCTTAGCACTTATTAGGTTGAGGGTCCGGATACCATGAGTATCAGGCCCCTACCCTAAATAGGGAATATGCTGTACTGACGAGTGTTAGTTACCATAAACCTAGGTCCAAAGGATTCCCACCGACTGCCTCTTATCCTTAATGTCAGAAATATACATGGTTTTTAAAAATTTCATGAAGACTATTAATCTTAAAAAAATCAGAAACTAGTCTATCATGAAGTTTGTATTGTTTATTACTTGTGTTAAATGACTATGTAACACTTGAAGACACTCGTAAATTACTAGTATTTGACCACAGGTGCCTTAGAAATATTGCTCGCATCTGCTGGGATCACCGGGTAAGTAATAGTGAGGTTAGATGCTGGGTATTAGGGAATGATGGTGAATCACTTGATGAGGTTATGAATTTTGATCGACTGAGATGGTTGTGCCACGTGCTGCGTATGCCTGAACACCGATTACCACGACGCGCAATGCTCACTGGTGTTAGAGATAATTGGAAGAAAGTTAGGGGCGGCCAAACCAAAACGTGGCATCAGTGTTTGAAGTCACTAACTTCTAGTCTGTGACATGTTGGTAGATGTAGACTGCCTGGTTGGGGTCCGCGTGACTATCGTAACCAATGGTTGGAGACTGAGGGTAACGTGGTTCAGAATCGATCACAATGGCGTAGGTGCATACACACTTTCTCTTTCTACAAACTAATTCTTTCTTCCTTTACTATCTCCTTATACAAACTCTTTCTTCTATATATTACCACCATTGAATTAACTACTTCTATGAATCCGGTGTTTATCTTGTTGTGCTAATGCGGTATGGCAACTTGGACCGATACATATATATGCCTGGTCCTACGTTGCAGCTGACTGACTGACTGACTGATGTAATTACTGGATGCTGCACAAATCATCATGATTGTTTGAAATACCATTGCTTCTTATTTATTAGCACAGATCTGAGTATATTTAACAATTTTACTTGTTAAAACATCATTGTTTATGAAAAATTTCCAGCATTCATCGTCTTAGTGAAAATTTGTTTTGAGATTTATTCAAACAGAAACAGTACAGTATACAGTAACTTATGTATCATGATTACTCTTGTCATATCTATCTATGATAATTAACCTAATCTTTGTGTATATGACGCATTGCTTACTTTGTTCATTTTATTTTAGACTACAGAACAAAATGTACATAATAAAATTGAACAAGTCTATAAGGAGAACAATAATCTCTGTCAAATTGACTATGACAATCTACAAAAAGATGAAGATAACAAAGCATTTGATCAACAAAATAATAATATATCTAAAGAAAAAAATATATCAGCTATAGATAACATACTTCAAGAATTAAAACAGTTAGAAAATGTAGAACTTTTAAATGATCATTCAATGAATAATTCAAAACAAATTCCTTTACAGAAATATTCCATTCCAACTACATGGTCTGAAATGGGTAGGTTAATTCAATGATTAACTATTTTAAATTTTAATATTTTTGTATATACATTAGATGATCTATAAACTTTTTTTTTTCTTAAAATAACAAGAAAAAGTTCATTATTTATTTTGTATTGAATAGATAATTGTATGAATAAATTTGTGAGGACTAATTAATCTGCGTGACTATTGTAACTTGTCCATGTGACTATCGTAACCAATGATTGGAGACTCTTGGTGACATGGCTCAGAATCGATCACAATGGTGTAGGTGTATACACTCTCTGTCTTCCTTTATACTAAGAGATTAAAATCGCTTCATATCTTTCTTTCTACGTATTAAATCTTTCTTCCTGTACTATATCCTTATAGGCAATCTTTCTTTTACACATATTACCACCACTGAATTAGGTACTTCTATGAATCCGGTGTTTATCTTGTTGTGCTAATGAGGTATGGCAACTTGGACCGATGCATATACGTGCCTGGTCCTACGTTGTAGCTGACTGACTGACTGACTGATTTTGTATACCTTTTAATTGATTGTCATTTCTCATAAATAGGTGTATGTTAATCATTTCATTGAGCTTAAATATTTTCATCAAACAGTATTCATGTACACAAGTACGTATATTCTGTATCGCCAAAAGTAGTGTGTCCGGTTCTTTTTTTTTTGTTTTTTTTTTATTAGAAATATATTTAATTTATTGAATTCTGAGTGAAGTTTAGGATTGCTAGAATATTGATTACTTAGAGGGAGCAAATAAATCAATAATCACTTCTATTTCCAACTCTTATCAACCATCGTTTGTTTGAAAGTCTTTACAAATAACGTTACATTCATGAGAACACATAGTGATAAGGGATTTAATTAGACTACTCCACCATGTATAAATTAAAAAACTATCTGAACTGATGATTATTATGACTAATGTTATAAATATAGTAAAAATGATGGACGTTACTTAGTTCACCAGGTTATTGAGTGTTCTGATTTGATCTGGTACGAAATATCCACAATTATAGATGGTTAGTAATTTCGGTGAGGTTGATGTACTGCCAGTGGTATAATTCAACGTAGATTATGTTATGTTCCAATTACAGTCTATAAATGTAGATGGTATTTAGTTTAGAATTCAGTTAACTCAATCACAAGTAATGAAGAACAAGAGGTATATGTACGACAATGTATTTGTTAGCAGTCAACAGTGTGTCATGATGCTATGAGTGTAACACGACGGAAGAAAGTGTGTTCATGGTCATACACTTAAACAACACATACAATCATTTAATGATAAATGTACATACAGTGAAAAATTGACAAAATAAATACAAATAACAATAAAAACTATTTACAAAATAAACTTGTCAAGCATATCTTCACAAAGGATATAATAGGAGTCTATTTGGTTTGCACATTGTGTACATGATTGTGTACATGTAATTAATCCTAGTGTGGTGTGTGCTACTTATATAGATATAAGTAGTATATAACGTGAGTCGTGAATAGAATGCCTGGCAGCAGAGAGACAAGAAGATTGAACAGTAAAGAATGAAAACAGAATGTAATTTGTATGAAAATGCAAGAATAAAGGAAGTCTGATTCATTCTGAGACAATTGATGAACATTTTGCAAATTGAGCATTTTCTATAATGGTTGTTAAATTTCATTAACATGTTCTGTAATTTGTTATTAAATAAATTCGATTGTCCCCACTGATGTTTTGTTCACTACATTTGGTGTCGTTGCCAACCCGGAGAGGGGGAAGGTGCCGCTCTGCGGACGCCGTTGAGGGCCTGGAGCTGTGGTTCAGGTTGGGGCAGTCTGGTACGGAGAAGTGGCGTCTGGTGGAGTGTTCTGGCGGGGCGGCGTTGGCTGTAGCAGGAGATGTCGACGGAAAGGAGCGGTGGGACGTGCTGCTGCTGGGTGGACATCGGATGGAGATGGCTCAGCAGGCCGGTGGAGCACGGGTGTCAAACGTTCCAGGTGCCGGGTGGAGGTTCCCCGGCAGGTCGACGGAGCTGTGGAGGTCAGCGCGCTGCAGACACGACATTCTGACGGAGGGCGTTGCACGGCGAGCATGAACCACAGCAAGAACGACGGCTTTCAAAGAGGGGACGAGTGTGGTATGTGCTACTTATGTAGGCATAAGTAGTATATGACGTGAGTACTGAACAGAATGTCTGGCAGCAGAGAGACAAGAAGATCGAACAGTAAAGAATGAAGAAAGGATACAATTTGTATGAAAATGCAAGAACAAAGGAATTTTTAGTCATTTAAGACAATTGATGAACGTTTTGCGAATTGAGCATTTACTATATGGTTGTCAGATTTTATTAACTAGTTCTGTAATTTGCTGTCAAATACGTTCGGTTGTCCCCATTGGTGTTCGTGTTCATTACGTTACTACATTGACGAACTGATGTCTGAGTAAATAATTTTTATCTTAATAAAACTTTTATTGATCATAGTCAAGAATATAAATCGTTGTTGACTGAACTGAACTAGTGTTTTCATTTCCATCAGTCAGTATACTTTAATTATCTTTTACAATTCCTCCATTGAAATAAATAAATTTAAAAGTTATGCTGAATGAAGAAATCATGCTTCAACACTAATTTAAACCCACGATGAGCAGGATCGTGGATGCCCATTGCCAAGGAGGAGTCCCATACTAGAACGAAACGGCCGTCTAGTGTTTCCAAGATTCCCATGGTGGTCTAGCTTTAATTAACTCATGATTTCAACCAGTGGAATTTCTAAAAATCTCCACACAACCCCTGATGATAATTTAAAATAGTCTACAAAAGTAATTATAAATAATAAAAGAAGTATTATAAGCAAAGATGGATGGTGGCTAGCAGTGGAATCCAGGACGCCCGTTTCGTCCTATTTGGGACTCGTCAGCTGGATGTACCTGTATCTCAGAGTTGATGTTCACTCTGGGACTCGAATCCAGTACCGTCCGCTTTAAACGCTATCGCGTCATCCACTTAGCTACTGAGTCCTGATAGCCACTTGCTTGTGCAATGGATTCCACTGCTAGCCACTATCCATCTTTACTCATAATGCTTGTAAATTGAGGCAATATCGAGGCAATATGCACAGTATGCACATATGCGAATAAGAGACTGATCAATTGCAGTGCTAAACATCAATGGGAAGATTCAAGTAAAACAATATCAAGTGAATTAAAGAAGTAATTCTTGAATAAGGCCTAATGAAATAATTATAGAGTTTTAAGATTAAACTGTTAAATAAATTGAGAAAGGATATGACTCCCTCTAGGTAGTTTAATAAATATAACAGTTAGATGAGACGAAGTTATAAAAAAATGGAATAGGCTGTTAAGACAGTTCTATTGTATGGGGCGGAAACCTCGAAAACCACGAAAGCCATTATATACAGAAGATATAGATGTTTATTAACAGTTGTGTACGAAAAATACTTCGGATCTGTTGGCCGGACACAACCTACTGTGGGAGAGAACAAATCAGGAAGAAGCGAATGGGAAGTGGATAGGACACACATTGAGGAAAGCACCGAACTGCGTCACAAGGGAAGCCCTCACATGGATTCCTCGAGGTTATATAAAGGAGAATAGGAAGACCTAAGAACACATTACGCCGAGAAATGGAGATAGACATGAGAAAAATGAACAAGAATTGGATGGAACCAGAAAATTAGGCCCAGGACAGAGTGGGTTGGAGAATGCTGGTCGGCGGGTTATGCTCCTTTCGGGAGTAACAGCCGTAAGTAAGTATACTCAATACAGATTGATTATCGAAAGAAAATAATCAACTAAACAACCAGTCATCAACACTTATTACATATGAAAAAAGCCAGATGAAAACATTTTAATGGGATTAGTAAATCAAAATCTTGTACATGTAGCTTGAATTGGAAAAATCATTTGATTAACATGACAAATATAAACTGATGGAAGGCAATATAATAAGCGTAAAACTCCTGCTTCATTATATGATTATAAATGATTAATACTATATGAGAAACATGAAATGAACCACATCATTTCGATGCCTAATATTAGATGGATATACAGTGATAAAACTTCTTATCGTCCTAGTTTATATAGCGTTTTTCTCAATCACAGAAATTAATGTTAAGCACAAATTAAACATTAAAAATTCACTTTGTGACCAACTTGAATATCATTGCTAATGTTGATTGGCGATCTGTTTAAAACCAAATTTATGTCAATGTTATATGTTGTGACCGCGCGCGGATTAGAGCAGCAGCGAATTATCGATCGGACCAAAGACGCGTAAAACACTTAAGAACAGCCTAAAGTTCTATTTGGTCTTACTTCCCTGTCTAGCCCATCCAGTTGAGTCCAGAACACCAATCTCAGCCTCTGCGATATGAATCATTATATATTTTGATTATACTCTGTTTATATACCAATCAAACAGACCACAACGTACCATAAAATAGAACATAACATTTGTACAAGATTTGACCAATAGGAAAATGACACGTTGAATAAATATTGACCAATAGGAAAATGACACGTTGAATAAATATTGACCAATAGGAAAATGACACGTTGAATAAATATTAACCAATAGGAAAACGATACCATTTCAAGTCCATGGAGAACATTATACTTAACAGGATAATTTTTGGGATATTTTTTTTAAATATTCCAACAGTTTAGGAAAATATCATTTATATACTACTGATTTATGTCAGTGAGCTTAATTTTATTTATTATAAACAAGTTACTAACTATAATGTTGCTTATAGAATAAACCATACTGACAAACTATGATTTTATATCAGTTTTCTTTTCTAAAGTATAAACTTGAAAACTAATTTATTTAGCATATCTTCTTCTTCTTGTTCTTCTTCTTCTTTATTTTTCTCTTTTTTTCTTTTCTTTTTTTTTTTTTTAGTTAAAGATATTAGTCGCGTCCTATCTGAAGCTGAACAAGATGAATTGCATTCAATTAACTTTAATAAATATTGTCATGTTCAGCGATCTACAGGTTTAAATAATGTTCAAAATAGATCTGATTCTATATTATCTAATTATTCTTCAATTGGTCAATCAAATTTGTCTAATTCATCTACAATAACTACAAATAAACATACATACCTGAATGAAGAGAATTTATATTCACATACCAAGTAAAATTGTCTTGTATTAGTTAGTTATACAATCACAAGTATTTACTAATAAATTTTTTTTGTTTTTGTTTAATATCAAGCACTTGATAATGATTTAGGTAAATATTGTATGAATTCTATTGAAATTTGTAAGCAAAAACTAAATATAATCCTTTCCCATTAGAAGAATATAATTATTTCCACTGGTTGAAATCATGAGTTAATTGAAGCTAGACCATCAATATGGAAAACCTGGAAGCACTGGATGGCCGTTTTGTTCTAATATGGAACTCCTGATTGGCAGTGTACATCCACGATCCGGCTACCCGCTAGGTTCAAACCCAGAACCTATCAGTCACGTGCCAGGCAGTTAACCAACCAGATCACTGAGTTGGCTGGCATCCAATGGTGTTAATGTTTAACTTCAATCAATCCACGAAGTTGCGCCACCGTACACTATTATCTTCAGTGAACTGATATCTCTCAACAGACTTGTTGAAACTCCATTGGTCATGGCTTCTCACTAGAACTCCAGAAGTATCTCTTGAAGTCAGTCAGTAATGAGCAGATGATTATTATCTCTACATAACCCTTTTCTGTGAATATAATTATAATTATAAAAGTCTAAAACCAAAAGTCGAATTCAAACACTTTCCATCTTTAAAAAAATCACCTTACTATTAGACATCATTGGTTAAAAGGGTTTTAACTTAGTTTATACCCTTAACTTTACTACATCCTAAGATTGTGACATGTATTCTTCAAGATTAGTACTCAACGTATTTTTTTTGCCTAACGTTGTAGTGAACAGTAACATGAGTGGGGACAACCGAATAGTATTTGACAACAAATTACATCACTTGTTAAATAGAATCTACCAATCATATAGTAAATCATTAATTTACAAAATAACAATCCATCATATCAAACTGAACTGTTCCTGTTGCAAACATCAATTGATTGTGTGACATTTCATTGTTTATGTGTTTTCATATAAATTTCATTGTGTTTCCATTCTTCCCTTATCTTCTGTTGCCAGACATTACGTTTTTAACTCGAGTCATATACTACTTATTATATCAATATAAGTAGAGCACACTACAACATGTTTTTATTGGCTATTTACCTTTTAGATCTTTGATCATCATCATAGAAACGGTAACGTTTTAAATTTAAATTACATAACAGATAACCTTTAAGTGTTTGAAAGGTTTTAGAATATCTACTAAATAGTTACTGTAAAACATAACAAATTATTCATGTTGTTGAGCATTGTAATAAAAACACTTAAGAAATAATTCACTCGATATTGTTTTTGTTTTTCATTTGTTTGAATGTTCCCATTGATGTTTAGGACTGAAATTGTTCAGTCTCTTATTGGCATATGTGCATACTGTGCGTATGCCTCGATATTGCCTTAATTTACAAGCATTATAAGCAAAGGTGGATGATAGTGGCTAGCAGTGGAATCCAGTTTGACGTGCGTTATTTCGTCCTATTTGGGACTTGTCAGCTGGATGTACCTGCATCTCAGAGTTGATGTTCACTCCGGGACTCGAACCCAGTACCGTCCGCTTCAAACGCCATCAGGACTCAGTAGCTAAGTGGATAACGCGATGGCGTTTGAAGCGGACGATACTCGGTTCGAGTCCCACAGTGAACATCAACTCTGAGATGCAGGTACATCCAGCTGACGAGTCCCAAATAGGACGAAATAGCGCACATCAAACTGGATTCCACTGCTAGCCACTATCATCCACCTTCACTTAAGAAATAACTATAGTTTTCTATAATAAATGAATGTAAATGACAAAGTTATTTCAATGGTCTATTTTCAGTAGACATATGGAACGAGTTTGTTCACGACAAAAAGCTCAAAAACAATTGGATCAATCTATATCTCAATATCGAGAGAAATTGTCGACATTCATTCAGTCAAATCATAATAATCTATGTCATAATCTTCCAGAATCAAATAATGATCATATTGGTATTAATCAATATATAAAATATTCTAAGAGTCGAAACTCGGCTACATCACATAGATCATCTAATGTAAAAAATCAAACAACATCTAGATCATTACAATCTAGCTGTTTTAAAAGCCCTATGAATCCATCAAATACAAATTCTATTGGAATAAAAGTTGAAAATAAATTGTCTTACAAAAATCCTATAGAAAGTAGTACACAAAATCTTTATGATAATGTATCATTGAAGAATGGAATGAAGGTAATTTTAATAGTTATTCATATTTTAACAGTTATATTCATAATGTATCTGAATGATATCTTTCATCGGATTTGTGTGAAGAAAGTGATTTAAAGGTAAATATGGTGCTAAAAATTCACTTTACCATTGATATGAGTTCATTATCCAAAAATGGTAATAACTTCACTTGACTTACACCTGTTAACCCTTGTAAAGCATAGGCCACCGACCATGATTTATCAACCAACTCTATCCTGAGCACTCATTTCCAGTTTTTTTTTTTCAAGCGCTATTGATTCTTTTAATGTCTGTATCCAATTGCCGGTGTTATGTATTCTTTGATTTGCCTCTTTTCTTTTCACCTTGACAGTTTCAAGTGAGGGCTTGTTGTGTGATACAGTTTGGTACTTTTTGTAGTGTGCGCCCTATCAACGTACAGCGTCTTTTCTCAATTTCCTCTTCAACTGGAAGTTGGTTTGTTCTCTACCATAGCATGTTGTTGCTGGTTGTATACGGTCAATGGACTTAGAGTATTTTGTGCAGACAACCTTTTATAATTATCTACACTCTTTTCATGATAGTTATAGTAGTTCCCTAAGTATAAGCTCAGTATAATAGAAATGTTTTGATGTTTCTATTAGAGAATCTTACTTTGATGTTATCTGACAGTCGCTTTTAGTTCCATATGGTCTTCAGTTACAAGAGTGCCAAGCTTGCATTGTCAATCATTGCCTTCACATCTACATCAGATCCGCTTTGTTCATCAATGTTGCTGTTCAGCTACGTAAAGGCGTCCATCTCTTCCAGAGCTTTTCCGTCAAGTGTGATTTGGTTGATGCTCGCTCTGTTGTCTTTCAGGATCATGCTTTTGCCCTTTTGAATGTTGAGATCTACTGCTGTAGAGGTTGCTACAACATTGATTGTCTTCACCTTCATTTGTTGCCGTGTGAAAGAGAAGACCTAGATCATCTGCAAAGTTCAAATTTTCTAGCCACATCCAAGCTGTCCATGTAGGTCTTCATAATCCAGTCAGTCAACCACCAAAAGAGAGAAAGAGCGCAAGACAAGCAGCCTTAACTGACACCAGTCTTTAATAAAAATAGATATGCCAGCTGTCCTCAATGCACCACTTTGTAGTGTAGCCCGTCGCATGAATTTTGTATGATGTTGACGATATTCTCAACTATACCACAGTATCGAAGAAGGTTACATAATATTCTTCTACCCAATTTGTCGAATGCCTTCTCATTGTTAAGGAAGGTGATGTATAGTGGCGAATCCCATTCTATTGACTGCTCAACATAGATCCATATTGTCGTGATTTGGTTTGTGCATGACCGGTCCTTACAGAATTCGGCCTGTTGATCTCGATGTTGGATGTCTACTGAGTTTTTCATTCAGTTCAACAGCACCCTGTTAAAACTTTTACTGGTATCGATAGTAGTGTGATGTCTTTGTAGTTCTCACACTTGCTCAGATCTTCTTTCTTTGCTATCTTGGTGAGGTATCCTTCTTCATAGTCTGTTGACACTTGTTCTTTCTCCAAATCTTTCTGGATAGAATTTGAGACATCCTTGCAGTTACTTCTATGTCTGAACTCATTGCTTTATCTTGTATGTTGTCTAGTTCTCATACTTTGATACTCTTGGTTTTTCTGATAACCATGCTGATTTATTCGATTGTCGGTGGGACAACATCGGTAGGAAGGTCTATAGGTGCTGCTCCAATGTCATTTGAGTTCAGTAAAGCTGATCTATTCAAGAGTTCCTCAAAGTGTTCTGCTCAGTTGTCCAATTCTTGTTGAGTCTCATTGCTTGGTCTGCCTTCTTTGTTCCTGAATGGTCTCTGTGGCTTGCTTCATTTTCCAGCTAGTTTCTTCTTTGTATCATATAGTTGTCTCTTACAGCTTATTCTGATGTCATCGCTAGGTCTTTCATGTATTTCTGCTCGTCGGCTCTAATGATCCTCGCTTGTTTGCTTCTGTGTGTTCGGCGTATGCCTTGGCTTTCTCTACTTTTGTTGGGCTGTTGTTTATTGCTATCTTCCTGTTCATTTTTTCTTGAATCTTATCCCAGTGTATCAACGGAGATCCATTCCTTATGATATTGCTTGTTGTAGTTCAACATCTTCTGACACCTTGAATTTATTATTTTTCAATCTCTTTCCAGTTATTCTCCATGGTGGTTTCCTCTTCTTTGAGTAGATCTTGTAAAGCTTGGAACCTGCTGCTGAGGGCTATCTTTAATTCGTTGAGTTCATCAGTAACTCGAAGGAAGGCTGTAACAAACTTATGTAATGCTATTTCTACAGTTGTTCAGTGCTTCTGTAGCTTCAGTTTCATCTTGGCAACCACCAGGTGGTGATCTCAAGCGATATCAAATCCTTCCTTTGTTTTCATGTCTTCAATTGATCTTCCGAATTTCTTAGTGATGAAACATGATCTATCTTGTTCTCTGTATTGTGACCCAGTGATACCCATGTAGCTTTGTGAGTGAGTTTGCCGGGGAAATATGGTTCCATCTATAATCGTTTTGTTGAAGGCATATAAATATGCAAACCACTCACCACTCTCGTCCTTTTCTCCGACTCAATTCATATCGTCCCATGACACCTCCATACCCGTTGTTGTTCTTCCCAACCTTGGTATTTAGGTCTCCCATTAGAATGGTCAGGTCCTTTCGTGAGCACTTCACTATGATCAGTTGCAGTGTCTCATAAAACTGATCTTTATAGTCGTCATTGCTATCATTGGTGGGTGCGTAACATTGGATAGCATTCATTGTGATGCACTACTTCTTTGTTTTGGAGGACGCTTTGATGATTCCAGATCCATGAGATTCCCATCGCACAGATGCTTTATGTGCTTCTTTGGACGGCATAAGAACAACTCCCTAAGTGTGTGGAGCATTTTTTTCTTCGTATAAGTGTGCAGCAACACCTATCCTGAATCTATCCTTTTCTGTCCAGTTTGCCTCCAGTGGATTTTACTTATTTCAAACATAGCAAGGTTTTGTATTTTCATTTCCGCAGTTACTTGACTTGTCCTCCTGGTCTCCCACACTGTTCAAACATTTCATGTACATATCTTTATTATTGCTCTGGTTGTTAGAAGGGGCATTGAGCTCGTGATTTCTTAATATTTCCAACTTTCACCATGAGGCGTCATAACTCTTCTAAATCAATACTGTTTACCTCCTAGGGCAGAGTTAAAATGGTTTAAATGATTATTTTTTCCGGTTAGTGCCTTTTAGTAAAGTTCGATTCTATGGGATAGAGTTGCTGACCACATATCTAATTTTTCTTTTTTCTTCCGTCTTAAGACCACTAGTAATCCTAGATGGGCTACAGATGGAGTTAAAAATGATAATTAGTTATCTTGGAGTTTGTACCATGAATTCTGTTTATAAAACTCAAATCTTATATGATGAAAATCCTAGACCAAACTAATTAATATATCATTTGTTACACAACTCCTATGTTTGAAGTCACTGACAAATGGTCTGAGTCATGTTGGTAAATGTAGACTACCTGGTTGAGGACCACGAAATGATAGCAACCGATGGTTAGAGACCTTGAATGACATGGCTGAAAATCGTTTACAATGACGCAGGTGCATCCACTCTTTGTGTTCTCTCAAACTCTAATCTTCTGAATTCTTCATGTCCTTTATTTTCTTTCCCAATTTATTCCACTGGATTATACTCCCTGAATAACATCATCAAACCATAATGTTCACTATTACTACTTATACTTACACTATCTCTAGCACTGCGGGATTTGAATCGATAACTGAATCTGTGTGCTAATGTGGTATGGCAACTCGAACTGATGTACGTACATACGAAGTTCCACGTTGTTACTGACTGACTGACTGACTGACTGACTGACTTATTGAAGGATAAATTTTCTCAAGGAATCTATCTCCATTTAATTAGTTTCACTAATTTAAATATATACTTTTTTTTTTTTTTAGCAGCTAATTCAAAATGATGATGAACATATCACTAATGACAATGAATATTTATTGTTAGAAATTGAAGAGAAAAATGGTCAAATAAAACGTTTACATAGAATTATAGAACATCAAAGAGAATTATTTTTAAAACAATCAAAAGATACACAACGAGATAATGAACAAAGAATAGAATCAATGAAAGCTGATTATGAATGTACAATTAAACGAAATTATAAATTAATTGATGAATTAATTGAAGAGAAAAAAGTACTTCATATAAAATGTGAAGAATTTTTAGAAGAACTAAAAACAGTCACAAAGAAAACGAATGAAAAAATCAAATCACTTGAAGAAAGGTTAGTTAGTAGTAGGTGAACTTTATTGTTGTAAGTAAGTAAGTAAGTAAGTAAGTAAGTGAGTGAGTGAGTGAGTGAGTGAGTAAGTAAGTAAGTAAGTAAGTAAGTAAGTAAGTAAGTAAGTAAGTAAGTAAGTAAGTAAGTAAGTAAGTAAGTAAGTAAGTAAGTAAGTAAGTAAGTAAGTAAGTAAGTAAGTAAGTAAGTAAAGTAAGAAAGTGAGTGAGTGAGTAAGTAAACAAGTAAGTAAGTAAGTAAGTAAGTAAGTAAGTAAGTAAGTAAGTAAGTAAGTAAGTAAGTAAGTAAGTAAGTAAGTAAGTAAGTAAGTAAGTAAGTAAGTAAGTAATCGAGTGAGTGAGTGAGTGACTAAGTAAGTAAGTAAGTAAGTAAGTAAGTAAGTAAGTAAAGTAAGAAAGTGAGTGAGTGAGTAAGTAAACAAGTAAGTAAGTAAGTAAGTAAGTAAGTAAGTAAGTAAGTAAGTAAGTAAGTGAGTAAGTAAGTGAGTGAGTAAGTAAAGTAAGTAAGTAAGTGAGTGAGTGAGTAAGTAAACAAGTAAGTAAGTAAGTAAGTAAGTGAGTAAGTAAGTAAGTAAGTAAGTAAGTAAGTAAGTAAGTAAGTAAGTAAGTAAGTAAGTAAGTAAGTAAGTAAGTAAGTAAGTAAGTAAGTAAGTAAGTGAGTAAGTGAGTAAGTAAGTAAGTAAGTGAGTAAGTAAGTAAGTGAGTAAGTAAGTAAGCGAGTAAGTAAGTAAGTAAGTAAGTAATCGAGTGAGTGAGTGAGTGACTAAGTAAGTAAGTAAGTAAGTAAGTAAAGTAAGAAAGTGAGTGAGTGAGTAAGTAAACAAGTAAGTAAGTAAGTAAGTAAGTAAGTAAGTAAGTAAGTAAGTAAGTGAGTAAGTAAGTGAGTGAGTAAGTAAAGTAAGTAAGTAATTGAGTGAGTGAGTGAGTAAGTAAGTAAGTAAGTGAGTAAGTAAGTAAGTAAGTAAGTAAGTAAGTAAGTAAGTAAGTAAGTAAGTAAGTAAGTAAGTAAGTAAGTAAGTGAGTAAGTAAGTAAGTAAGTAAGTAAGTAAGTAAGTAAAGTAAGTAAGTGAGTGAGTGAGTAAGTAAACAAGTAAGTAAGTAAGTAAGTAAGTGAGTAAGTAAGTAAGTAAACAAGTAAGTAAGTAAGTAAGTAAGTAAGTAAGTAAGTAAGTCAGTAAGTAAGTAAGTGAGTGAGTGAGTGAGTGAGTAAGTAAGCAAGTAAGTAAATAAGTAAGTAAGTAAGCAAGTAAGTAAGTAAGTAAGTAAGCAAGCAAGTAAGTAAGTAAGTAAGTAAGTAAGTAAGTGAGTAAGTAAGTAAGTAAGTAAGTGAGTAAGTAAGTAAGTAAGTAAGTAATTGAGTGAGTGAGTGAGTGAGTGAGTGAGTGAGTAAGCAAGTAAGTAAGTAAGTAAGTGAGTGAGTAAGTAAGTAAGTAGGTTAGTTAGTTAGTTAGTTAGTTAGTTAGTTAGTTAGTTAGTTAGTTGGTTAGTTAGTTAGTCAGTTAGTTAGATAGTTAGTTAGTTAGTTAGTTAGTTAGTTAGTTAGTTAGTTAGTTAGTTAGTTAGTTAGTAGCAGGTGATCTTTATTGTTACTTGGCTAGGATGATTACTTGATATTGATATTGATTAAAAGACAAAATCAAATGTCAACTTAATAATCTAAACTATAGGCCATACAATTGTCACTATTTGATCAAATAAGAACAATCTATGAAACGGAACAACTACAACTGTAAAACCAACTCATAGACAATTAAAATTTATACACAATGATGGCTGAACTGTCATCCAAAATGTAGAAAACGTATGTGGAATGCAAATGACAGTAATTTATCGATACAATTTGTAACAAAACAAAAAATAAAAATGCAAACGAAATTATGCGTGGCCTTAGAAACGGCCTTCTATCGGGTTATCTTGGTTCCAACGCTACAGTCATTTCTGTTCTAAAGTATTGCATCTTTCCATTCCCATATTTCGTTAACAATCGTCTCATAAAAAAATAAAAGAAAACGTTAGATTCTCACTTAGTAACTGAAATATAAACATACCATTTTGACTGTGATACCAAGATTCGGAACGTTCATGTGTTCCATTAGACCTCGTTTAATCGCGCTACATATTAGACAATGGAATCCAAGGAATTGCTGTAGTGCGTTCCAACGACAAAACGAATGAAACACAGCATTGCAACGAAAAATAATCCAGGTTCTTCCCTTAACAGTTTCACTTGGTGGTTGAATAAGATGGCATATGTCACATAGCCCGTTGATATGAACATTTTCGTCTATGTTATTGTCTCTGTCATTAAATTCTTCTAAGTTTATTGAAACAACATCACCTTCTTCATAACTAAGCCCAGGTGCTGCGAATAATGTCAACAATACTTCAGTCATTCTTCTGATTCTTATGGAAATGAGAGTCAGGGACCCCATAATAGCATTATATCACCCTTTCATGATTTCTGATAGCGTTCCTTAACTCTTCAAGCTATTGGAATGCTCGAAACAGTACATCTGGCACTTTGTTAGTTGTTTACCTTTGGAGAAAGAAAAATGATCACTCGAGGAATATTTGCGTTTTATATTACTTTTTAGAGAATAATAATTAATAATTACCATTTTAAAACTAATAATTTCATTGAACAAAACAGAATGAAATACACTTGATATTGTTTTATTTGAATCTTCTCATTGATGTTTAGCACTGCAATTGATCAGTCTCTCATATTGGCATATGTGCATACTGTGCGTATTGCCTCGATATTGCCTTAATTTACAAGCATTATGAGTAAAGATGGATAGTGGCTAGCAGTGGAATCCAGTTTGACGCACGTTTCGTCCTATTTGGGACTCGTCAGCTGGATGTACCTGCATCTCAGAGTTGATGTTCACTTTGGGACTCGAACCCAATACCGTCCAGCTGACGAGTCCAAAATAGGACGAAACGTGCGTCAAACTGGATTCCACTGCTAGCCACTATCCATCTTTGCTCGGAATGAAATAGTTTTCAAGATGGGATAAAAAAAATCTTTGATAAAAACGGTACAAAAATAACCGCTGTGATAAATAATATTCACCATATTCTTGTATTAAATTAACGTTAACTATGCTCAGCATGATACTCAACATATTATTTATTATAAAACTGGGTATTTTTTCATATTCTGGTGTGTGTTACTAAAGTCGACCAACATAAGTAGTATGTTTCATCAGTCGAAAGTGAAGTGCTTAGCGACACAAAGTTAAGAAGTTCGAAAAGAGAAGAGAACGAGAACAGAGAGTGATTGGTGTGAAAACAAAGGAGCACCGAATGATGCGAATGAAAATAAAAAAATTATTAAGAGGAGCAATCAGTTTAAAATTAAGATTTGCTTTTAATCTTCACAAAGACTTGATTAGAACCTAATGGAAAAAATTTTCAGAAGGGATTGTGTGGAGATTTTAGAAATTTCACTGGTTGAAATCATGAATCCTTTGAAGCTTCAAGAGATCCTCCTGGAGTTCTAGTGAGGAGCCGTGACCAGTGCAGTTCAACCAGGTATGTTGTGAGATATCAGCTCACTGAAAACAATAGTGTACGGTGGTGCAACTTCGTGGATTGGTTGAAGTTAAACATTAACACCGTTGGATGACGGTCAGCTCGCTGATCTAGTTGGTTAAGCGCCTGGCGTGAGACTGATAGGTCCTGGGTTGGAATCTCGCGGGTAGCGGGATCGTGGATGCGCACTGCTGAGGAGTCCCACAATGAGACGAAACGGCCGTTCAGTGCTTCCAGGTTTTCCATAGTGGTGTCTAGCTTCAATGGATTACTGATTTCAACCAGGAAAAAATTTTGTCTAGTCCTCATTTTATGAGTATAAATTTTCAGTGAGCTAGAAAGAAATCATTTACTTGTATAGTTAGTCCACAACATAAACTACTTTCTCAATACAGTGTTCGTTGAAATTTCCAAAACCAAACTGTATTTAAAAGGTTTAATATCGCTTACTCAAACAGTTAAAGCCTATGGTTTGTAGTGAACAAAACACCAGTGGGGAACAATCGAATATATTAAACAATACATTACAGAGCATCTCAATAAAATCTGTGAACCATATATAGTAAATGGTCAATTTGCAAATTGTTCACCAATTGTCGCAAATCACTCAGAATCCCTTTTGTTCTTGCATTTTCATACAAATTACATTCTGTCTTCATTCTTTATTGTTCGATCGTCTCGTCTCTCTGCTGCCAGACATTCTGTACAGTACTCACGTCATTATACTACTTATGTCTACATAAGTAGCACACGCCACAAGTTTACTTAATAAAATGAACATATGTTTACTTCAACTACACTCCAAAATAAATTCTTATCTAAATTAAGCATTCGTTTAAATCTTGCTATTCAGATAGGTTTAAACTTGTAAGTGCTTCCAACTTTTATGTCTAATACTATTGTACCTAGTTCAAGTTGAAGTATTCTCTTTTTAAATTGTTAAATCTCCTTATAATTCATGTAGAGTTAGGCTTTTATTTTGTGATCTTTTAAAATTTTATAATACTAAAGTTATCTATGTAACATGGAACTATTTGACCCGACTATTCCTTGAAGATGCTGTAGTTTTCCTTTCAAGATCCAATAAAACACTAAGTTTGCAACTATGTAAAATGGTTTATAGAAATTTTACATAATAGTCCTTAGTGATTCAATTTACGACTAGATACGTAGTACTGTTGTGTGTGCTACTTATGTAGACATAAGTAGTATAATGACGTGAGTACTGTACAGAATGTCTGGCAGCAGAGGGACGAGACGATCGAACAATAAAGAATGAAAACAGAATGCAAATTGTATGAAAATGCAAGAACAAAGAGATTCTGAGTCATTTGAGACAACTGATGAACAATTTGCAAATTGACCATTTACTATATATGGTTCTCAGATTTTATTGAGATGCTCTGTAATTTGTTGTCAAGTATATTCGATTGTTCCCCATTGATGTTGTTGTTCACTCCAGTACAAGTATGAATTAGTTGGGTCCATAAAAATGTATTTAGTCACTTAACAAATATTGTAGAAGTAATAACAAATGGTTAGGTAGGATAAAATTTAAAACGGAAAATCACACTATAAACTAATGACTAATTTATTCTTATTAAACGTATCTGGAATTACGATGAATACAGCTGCATAGAGATAAACAGGTTCTTATTATATGATGATCCTACAATCAAAATAAATAGCTCTGTAAGTTTTCGACATTAGATACTGACCATATTAGGTTTAATGGACTTATCTAGCTGAAGATGCTCGGTCATGTATCCACACCAGATCACATGTATGCGGGAACGCCATACTCAATATCTACTTCAATCGCTAGCCAGATGATTTCAAAAGATCTTCGATCTATTGATAGCTTATCAAATATATCTTCGAACTTCCTCATTTCTGTCTTTTTAATTTCACTGGATGGATACGGTTCATAATAGAAAGTGTTACTGGTTAAAGTGTTGTCAAACTCTAAATACCTGTAACATCTACAGCATAATTATCAAAATGTATTGATCATAAACTAGGTGCAAAGTTCACATCTATCACTTTTAATCTATATATTGATGCTCATCAGACCATATGATATAGATTTATTATTATTATTATTATTATAAGCTTTATTCAATATTATATTTTCGGTACACTATTGAATTGTCAGCATAAAGTACTTCAACAAGTTTCCCGTTTCTTATATCTTGATTGATCCTGACGATAAATATTGAGTGATGGCCAGTTAAATGTTAGGAGTTCGATAATCGACATCTGAATAATGTTCATTCGTTTCAATGCAATATTGCATGCCACCATGATATCGGTGGTTGTACCTTTTTTGTAATCCGTACAGCGAAAGGTTGTAAACCTTTCATAAACGCACCGGTAAGCTCAATAGACATAATATTGTGTTAAAACAAACAAGAAAACAGATAACTTGACGAAATATCTAGATGGAAAGAACAGGCGGCCCAGATATTCAAGCAGGCCGCCGATGATTATTGCATGCTTCACTAATCTAGGTAATTCTATCTACCTTATTAATATGATTCCCAACAAAATCTCAATGCATAGATTGCCATTGTATTCTAAACCCAAACTAGACATTCATTCATCAAATTATAAATATTTCATTGATATTTGAACAAAAGGAGATCTTTAAAAATATCAAACTAGAATAGATCTCTTTGTTGCCTATAGGTAACGGTTAATAAAAGAATTGTATTTATACCAGATTCATTGAAAACTATTTTAGAAAAGCTCAATTTATCGGTTACAGTCAATAAACTTGATATAAGTAGTGTTTCAATAGTTGAAATCACGAATCCATTGAAGCTAGACCAACATGAAAAACCTGGGAGAACTGGACAGCAGTGCGCATCCACGATCCCACACCCCGCGGGATTCGAACCGAGGACCTATCAGTCTCGCGCCAGGCGCTTAACCAACTAGACCACTGAGCCGGCCGGCATCCAACGGTGTTAGTGTCTAACTTCAACTAATCCACGATGCGCACTGCTGAGGAGTCCCATACTAGGAAGGAACGGCCGTCCAGTGCTTCCAGGTTTTCCATGGTGGTGTCTAGCTTCAATGGATTCATGATTTCAACTATTGAAATTACCAATTCTCCACAAAACCCATTCTAGTAATAAGTAGTGTTTACCGATTATGATTTTTTTTTTCTTAATTAGACACAAAGTTGAGATGAGAAAATTAGAGGCTAAACATTTAGCTGCTGAAAAGTTACGCCGAGAAAAGTGGGAAACAGAAAAAGCAAAGCATTTTAAAGTGAGTGGGTTTTTTCTTTTCAGTATAATCTTTATTACATTTATCTGTCAATATACATTGCATTATGTTAGATTACCTACAATAGTATAGAAGTAATTTATAGTAATGCTTTAAATGTATGAAAAGTGGATAAAGATAGTATTCATTGTAAATGTGTTAGAATAATACTGATGCGTGTTTTGCTGATGTGAATTCAAAAGCATAAAAATAGAAAACTCTGTACAGTATAACCTGTATACAATTTGATATGGGTGATTTAAGTCAGTATAAATTAGATGTAAAGATCATTTAAAGTAGTTGCCCGTTTTCTTTATTATCCCTTATTGTACATATGATCAGTAGAGGATATTCGTTGGTTACTAGTATTTGATCATAGGTGTCTTTGAAGCATTGCTAGTATATCCTGGGACCACTCAGTAAGTATTGCAGTTGTTAGGAAAGGGGTACTAGGTAAGAATGGCAAATCAATTGATGAAGTAGTGAAACTTAATCAGTTGAGATGGCTGGGACATGTGTTGCGCATGCCCGACCACCGACTGCTTCGACGTGCGATGTTTTTTGGTGTAGGAGTAGGTTGGAAGAAAGCTAGGGGCGGCCAGACCAAAACATGGCAGAAATCCATGAAGTCACTGACAAGTGGACTGAGTCATGTTGGTAAATGTAGACTACTTGTTTTGGGACCGCGAGATTATAGCAACCGATGGTTAGAGACCTTGAATGAATGGCTCAAAATCGTTTGCATTGATGTGTGCAGATGCATCTACTCTTTGTGTTCTCTCAAACTCTAATCTTCTGAATTCTTCATGTCCTTTATTTTCTTTCCCAATTTATTCCACTGGACTACACTCCTTTAATAACATCATCAAACCTTAATGTTCCCTATCTCTACTTACACTTTCACTACCTCTACCACTACGGGATTTGAATCGATAACTGAATCTCTGTACTAATGTGGTATGGCAACTCGAACTAATGTACGTACATAGGAAGTTCCACGTTGTTACTGACCGACTGACTGACATATGATCAGTGTTTTATAAGAACTATTTAACTAAGAGATTTAAGATATTAGAGAATTTCACTTAATCTTTATTATCTATTCACATTTACAGTACTGACAAGTTATTCAATAGCTATCCATAATGGTGCCTAAAAGTTGATATTAGATATGAATAGTAATAGTGAGGTTAGATGCAGGATATTAGGGAATGATTATGGTAAATCAGTTGATGAGGTTATGAATCTTCATCGACTGTGATGATTCGGCCACGTGTTGCGTATGCCTAAACACCGATTACTACGACGTGCAATCCTAATTGGTGTAGGGGATGGTTGGAAGAAAGTTAGGGGCGGCCAAACCAAAACGTGGCATTAGTGCTTGAAGTTGTACATGTGCTAATTACTTATCCTATTTATTAAGTGTCTGTAACATATTTTTTGTTTGAATATAAATATTGAGTCACGCTTGATCAATACGAGTTAGTTAATTTGCCTTATCCACTGATTGTTATTTCGTTTCACTTCACTCACTCCTCTATGCTTCCTTCTCTTAGTTGCGTGATTGTTTGTTCAGATCAATGACTCACATTTAAGTTATTTAACTCCGTTATTCACCAACGCGATTTAAGTCGATAATTGTATATGAGGATTATATATATGTATATTTTTGATAACAACCATCATACGATCCAGTTGAAGTCATATAATGAGCAGTTAAAAATCTTTTATTATTTATTTTAACATATAGATATTGGTACAAGGAGGCACCAAATACATATGCGCTACACGAATCTCAATTGATTTGTGTGAGGGCTGTGATACTGCACGGGTACCATAAACGAAGCAGATGGTTTCCTTAGGGGACCACACCCGAAGCCTTCGACCTGAACGTCTGACCCACAAGGCAGTGGAACATCGTAATGAGATGCAGTCCCATGGTAGCCGGTGATCAACATTTGGTTCATACGCCATTTGTTCATTCAGGAAGTGAAGGATAACTTTTAGAAACGTCCACTGATACAATAAAACTTTTATCATGGAGATAGTTCAACTACACACGTGTCTATGGAGTTAATTCATAAATCATTTGTATTTTGTCATTATTCACAATATAGATTATAAAGGACAAGTGATGAATAGAATCAAATGACCATTTCAACATAATGGTGACGGTGGTTCAACTTCGTGGATTGTTTGAAGTTAGACATTAACACCGTTGGATGCCGGCCGGCTCAGTGGTCTAGTTGGTTAAGCGCCTGGCGCGAGACTGATAGGTCCTGGGTTGGAATCCCGCGGGGGGCGGAATCGTGGATGCGCACTGCCAAGGAGGAGTCCCATACTAGGAAGAAACGGCCGTCCAGTGCTTCCAGGTTTTCCATAGTGGTGTCTAGCTTCATTTGATTCATGATTTCAACTATTGAAATAATTAGATTCGTTCATATTTTCTAAAAGAAAAATGGTTATAACTTAATATTTTCCTGTATTAATTTTCATTTTGATTTAATAGGAAGTTACTATTCGTGGAATGGAAAATGAAGTAGCTCAAATGATCGCAAATCATAAAGCTGAAATGGCTAGTTTACGTCAATCATGCGCTGAACAAATTCAAGCAGCTGATATACGCGCCTATCAAACTTATATGAGTCATATTGAAGAACTAAAACAAACGTTGATAAAAGAAAAAGATGAAGCCTGCTCTAGAGAAAGAGAACTTGTTGAACAACGGTAGTTAGATAATTATTTTGTTATTACTAATATTTTCTTATTGAAATCTCAAATTGAACCAAGTTAGACAACCAATTAAAAACCTGGAAGTAATGGACGATCATCTTGTGAATGTGTGTTAAAAACTCATTTTAACCTAGAACTATCACTATTACTACCGATTTACTGTTTATGTGAACTTTTGTGGCACAAATTTAAAAAGCTGAGATTTCTAAACTTTTCATTTTCTTTTACCTAAAAAGGATGTTTTATTTAGAATTTTAATAAGTAACAAACTACGATCATAAGATTATTATTTTAATATACCTTCAGATGGATTTTGGTATACTCGGGATATGATACGGACGCTTAAGCTCCTTTCATGGCTAATGTAATCGCCTTTGAATTATCAGACTCAAGGTATCTTAATCAATGATTATTGGTATTCGATGACATCAAACCAGAAAGTCTATATTCTGTGAATTCATTTGATGGAATTAGTTAGGAAGTTGATAAGCTAGTAATTTTCAACCGAGTTATAGTATACAATTTGTAGAATATTACTGCTTATATAATTGAAGGGTTTCAGTAATTTTACTTGAAGATTTATTTGTTCATTTATACCAGTGAATGTGGAACTCATTCTATACCTATAGATATTTCATGAGTTTCAGTCACGAAACAATCTTGAGATATTTGATGATACATAACCTGCCTGAATCATAATCTAAAAAGTGAATTATAAACAGACATTACTCCCCCATTTTTCATCTACAATAATAAAAAAAATCGAATAATGTTAGCTTAAGTTTACTTTAAGTAGATAATAATGATTTGTTAATTTTGTCCATGTTACAGTACTCTCTTCATAGATACAACTGGATTATAAGATCGTTTTTAATCAATTTCATCGATAACCGGCCCCCAAATGCCCTGGTACGGCCGAGAGTGGGGAGAGTCCGCTCTCCCTCTCTAAATGCTCTCATATGGCCATGCGTATATAGCCCCTGCCAGGGAAGTCCTACTCACTGCTTTCTCGTGGCGGGGGTGTTGTTTACGAAAATGAGAGGACGAAAAGCGAATGTCCGGCGCTTTAACCGGATCTCAAACCAATGGTGCACATTGGCTCCAGTATCCTGAAGGAACAAATGGCGTATGAACCATTCGTTGGTCACCGGCTACCATGGGACTGCATCTCCTCACGATGCTCCACTGCCTTGTGGATCAGATCTTCAGGTCAAAGGCTCGGAGTGTGGCCCCCTAAGAAAATCACCTGCTTCGGTTTGGGCACCCGAGCAGTATCACAGCCCTCACACATTTCAAATGAGATATGTGTGGCGCATATGTATTTCGTGTCTTCTTGTACCGATATTTATGTGTTAAAATAAATAAATAAATAAAATAATCATCGATAACCCTATTGAGTTAAATTAATCTACGAAAGTATTTAATAGCATTGTTTTTCAAGTTGTTCATTCATTGTAATAGCTTAAACTCTTATGGTGTTATTCGAATTTCGACTCGATTTTTTATCAGTACGTAACAATGAACTGGAATGAGGTTGTTAGGCCATTTTCAGCTAACCTATATCTTTTTAAAGCACATATATCTGTAGCGTGGAGTCGAGTTGAGCTTGACTATGAACACCGCTACAAGAAGACTACGTGCCAGTCAACCAATCAGATTCCCATAGGGCAAAATCAGAAGATAGATGACAGTTGTAGTCGAGATGTATTTGCTGGCAATCTCGTGGTATCGAAAGAATACCGAAATCGTGCCAAAGGATTACAAGCGTGTTTACTGAACGTAACCGAGTTTAAAGTCAACGGGAGAGTAAGTCTAATTGGCTGTTATTAGCATAGTTAAACAAACGAGCACAGGAAAACAATCACTGGTATAATTGGTTATAATAATAATTGTTTTCATCGAATCAATCGCGTTCTGTTGACAAAAGTAGGTCACTACATATCCATTATCAGTAATGGTTTAACCTAAACAATAAAATTACTTAGTTATCTTTATTAGTTTGAATAATTTTTTTCTGGTTAGCGTTTTTTTTTAGCGAGTTAGTTTTCTACGGGATGGGGTCGCTAAACCCATGCTCAACCCTCCTCCTTTATCCGGGCTTGGGACCGGCAGTAGCCCCCGGAAAGGAACTCCAGGCCGAGTATCTTTCTTTATGTTATTACGTTTATAAATACTATACCGCATAGAAAGATTTAATCATCTTAAAGAATTTCATTTAATTATAGATTAAATCAAACTTTAACAGAAGAACGTAATTCTTTGGAAGCACATAGACGTAGATTATTAGATGAGATTTCTGATGAACGTGAAAGATTAGCATTGACTACATCTAAACAAAAGATTGAAATGGATAATCTTAGAAACAATTTAGAAATTACCTTGACACAAGCTAACGAACAACATAAAATGGAAATGGAACAATTAAAAGCGGATTTAATTCAAAGACATAAGGTCAGTTTTAATAATATACGTATAATATTATTACTTCATGGTTATTTATTTTATTGATTTTTTTTGTTGGGGGGGGGGATCAAAATTCAATCAATAAGTAATTTAACAAGTACCACTGACTAATTTCATGTAACAGATGACAATAGAGAATAATTGGTCATCTTTAGTCAATTTATTTTCTTTCGTTTATTTCAAGTGGTTCTTAAGATACTTAATGGACGTTCTTGTTACTGAGTTAACAAGACATTGTAACAAAATGTTACTAGGGGGGATATCTTGAATTATTTGAAGATGTTGAACAAAAGTTCTTCAGTTATTATTAGTTTGGTTGACAAATGCCATGAGGGATTTGTTATATCCGAGCAAAGATTAAATCACGAGTAATTTCTGAGAACTATTAATGGACTAATATTATCTATATATTCTTACGGTGTAATTATTTAATAGTTAGATTATGTATATTTATATTCCTCTTATTATAAGCTTCACTTTGACCTATAATTTATCATTGTATGATTTACTGTCCCTAAATTATGCTCAGTTTATTAATCACTGTCTCCCACATTCCCAGCCACTTTTTGGCCTATTTGTGTACACATGTTATTTTCTATTTTATGGTACGTTGTGGTCTGCCTGATTGATGTATATAAACCGAGTATGTCTGAAATAAATGATTTGGTTCGATTTGGTACGATTCGATTCATATTACAGAAGCTGGTATTCTGTTCTGGACTCAAGTGGACGGGTTAGAAGGACATACGACCCAATAAGGACGCTAGACTGCTCAGACTTGTTGAACGTCACTGGTCTTGTCATAGTGCGAAGATTTGGATAAGTCGTATTCTAATTGGTGGATAAGTCACGTGATCGAAAGTTGGACATCAAATCATAACATTAACCATCCTTAGACTAAAACCCACCGTTTTTAATACAATCTGGATACTTAAATAATATGGTCAACTGATGGGTTTTACTGGATTGTTATATAAGCTGTAGTTTAATTTGTTTTTGTTTTTAATTGTCTCAACCGGTTCAGCCTTTTTGAAAAGTGAATTTTTTTTAATTAACTAAACTATAATGATTACTGAATGAAAATGACAAATAATGACGAGAAGACAGAATATGAGTAAAGGATCTTCTCAATTACTTACTTACTTACTTACTTACGCCTGTTACTCCCAATGGAGCATAGGCCGCCGACCAGCATTCTCCAACCCACTCTGTCCTGGGCCTTCTTTTCAAGTTCCATCCAATTCTTGTTCATTTTTCTCATATCTATCTCCATTTCTCGGCGTAATGTGTTCTTTGGTCTTCCTCTCCTCCTTCGACCTTGAGGATTCCATGTGAGGGCTTGTCTTGTGACGCAGTTCGGTGCTTTCCTCAATGTGTGTCCTATCCACTTCCAGCGCTTCTTCCTGATTTCTCCCTTCACTGGGATCTGATTTGTTTTCTCCCACAGTAGGTTGTTGCTAATAGTGTCCGGCCAGCGGATCTGAAGTATTTTGCGTAGACAACTGTTAATGAACACCTGTATCTTCTGGATGATGGATTTCGTAGTTTTCCAGGTTTCCGACCCATACAGTAGGACTGTCTTGACATTTGTGTTGAAAATTCTGACTTTGGTGTTGGTTGCTAATTGTTTTGAGTTCCAGATATTCTTCAGTTGTAAATATGCTGTTCTTGCTTTGCCAATCCGTGCCTTCATATCTGCATCAGATCCACCGTGTTCATCTTCTCAATGATCATACGTTAATAAAGTTTCATATAAGTCTATACGGAACGCTTGTTCAAATACGTTCAACAATTGATTTGTTTTTTATAATGGGAATGTGAATACACTTAATATGGAACATCAACAGAATTGTTGCAAGTGAGATGAATCAATTCGAAAATCCTTTTTAACATCTATTAACATTGAATATTGGAAGATATATATTTTCGTGGGAATGAAAGACCTTAACCTTGAAAATTATCATTTCGTGTAATTTTATAAAACAAAATCATAAGCTTAAGTCGTATATGTAATCATTACTAACTAACTAAACAATGACAACATAGCCTTAGATCACCACCTGGTGCTTGATAAGATGAAACTGAAGCTAAAGAAACACTGGACAGCTGGGAAAACATCATTACAAAGGTTTAATACAACTTTCCTTCGGAATACTGAGAAAAAAACAATCAACGGATTCAAGATACCTATCAAAAATAGGTTCCACGTCTTGCAGGATCTACTGAAAGAAGAAAAAACTACTATGCAGGACAATTGGAAAGGATTCAAAGAAGCATTAACTTCAACGTGTCAACAGATGCTGGGCTGCAGGAAGTATCATCATAAGGAATGGATCTCCATCAGGAATCCTGTACAGGATTCAAAAAGGAAAGAACATGAAGACAGCAAGTAATAACAGCTAAACAAACACAAAGAAAGTTAAGGCACAAGCTGAATACACAAAAGCAAATAAGCAAGTTAAGAGGAGCATTAGACCTGACAAGCAGAAACACATGGAAGAGCTAGCGACGACAGCGGAAATGTGGAATAACTATATAACACAACGAAGAAAATAGCAAGAAAATATAGTAAACCAGAGAGATAGGTCAAGGACAAAGAAGGCAAAACAATCACTGAGATTCAAGGACAGAGGATCAGATGGATGCGACACTTCGAGGAACTCTCGGATAAGTCAGCCCCACTGAATACACCGGACATTGACCCAGCACATACTGACCTTCCTATAGATGTCACTCCATCAAAGATCGAAGAAGTCAGCATGGCTGTCAGGCAAACCAAGAGTGTGAAAGTAGCAGTACCTGGCAATATACCATCTGAAGCTCTGAAGTCAGACATAGAAGCAACTAAAAACATGTTCCACGATCTATTCAGCAGGATTTGGGAGGTAGAACAAGTGTTGATTGACTGGAAAGAAGAACACGTCATCAAGATGCCGAAGAACCGAGATCTGAGCAAATTTGAAAACTACAGAGAAATCACACTACTATAAGTACCAGGAAAAGTTCCCAACAGAGTGTTACTGGACCGGATAAAAGATTCAGTAGACGCCTAACTTCGAGGTCAACGGACTGGATTCTGTAAGGATCGGCCGTGCAGAGACCAAATCGCGTCAATAAGGACCATTGTTAAACACTCAATTGAATGGGATTCGTCACTGTGCATCAACTTCCTTGATTGTGAGAAAACATTTGTCAGTGTAGATAGGAGAACCTTATGGAAACTCCTTCGACGCAATAGTTAACCCGAGAAAATCGTCAACATCATCCGCAATTCATACGATGGACTACAGTGCAAAGTGGTGCATGAAGGACAGCTACATTCCAAGTGAGGAACGGAGTCAGGTAAGGCTGCTTGCTTTCTCGCTTCCTCTTTCTTCTGATAGTTGACTGGATTTTGAAGACCTCGACATCAGGTGGGAAGCACGGAATAAAATGGACAGGTTGGATGGAACTAGATGATTTGGATTTCGTAGATGACCTGGCTCTTCTGCCCTATGCACATGAACAAATGCAGATGAAGACAACTAGTGTGACAGCAGCTTCTGCATCAGTAGGCATCAACATACACAAGGGAAAAAGAAGGGTCCTTAAATATAACATAGAGAATACGAACTCAACTTCACTTGGTGGAGAATCTCCGGGAGATATGAAAACATTTACGTATCTGTGAAGTAGCATCGATGGACGAAGAGGATCTGATGCAGACGTAAATGAGAAAATTGGCAAATCAAGGGCCGCATTTCTACAATTGAGAAACATATGGAACTCAAAACAACTTTCAACCAATATCAAAGTCAGAATCTTCAATACGAACATCAAGACAGTCACACTGTACGGAGCTGAGACGTGAAGAACTACTACAACCATCATCAAAAATATACAAGTATTTGTAAAACAGTTGTCTACTCAAGATAATCAGTGTCTTTTGACCGGATACCATGAGAAACAGTCTACTGTGGGAGAGAACTAACTAGCTTCCAGCTGAAGAGGAAATTAGAAAAAGACGTTGATAGTGAACAGGACATATATTAAGGAAATCACTAAAAAACCACATCAGGAGGTAAACTCTGACTTGGAATCGTGAAGGGAAACGGAGAACAGGAAGGCCGAAAAACACTACGTTGGGAATTAGGATCAGACATGAAAAGGATAAATTGTAACTGGAAAGAACTGGAAGGGATTTCCCATGACAGTGTCCGATGGAGAATGCTGGTGGGCAACCTACCCTCCTCCATGAGGGGTAACAGGAGTAAGCAAGTAAGTATTTGGAGTAAACTTACCAGACAACAGCGATGACTACACTTTAATATTGACAATCTATAACCATCAATTTTATTGTTCTGATTACAGATATTTCGTTTAGCTGGCGAAAATAATTTCTTGATTGATAAGAGAAGGTTATAGATGATGCCTCCATAGAAGGCATGATACTCTCGAACCAAAGGACTATCTGGGAAAGGTATAGGCTTGCATTACCAGACATTTGGTAAAATAGAAGATAATGACACAAGACTACCTAGTCTTTATCAACATTTTAAATTCATCATTACTTCACTAAAATTGGATTCAAGTTTATTAAAAGTGTTTTCGTCCGTTACCTTGAAATACGTATACACTTGTTGTAAACAATCAGAAAAGACTATTTAATAGGAAAAATGTATCCAGTCCATAAAGTTTACGATAACCTGTTCCATACTGGTACAATAATCTATATATTATTATTGAATAGAATAGTAAATCTATCTAAAACAATTGTAAGCTTCCTTAGGTACTTTATTTTTAACAATTGAATAGGTGTAAATTCCTATTTCTATATATCATATAACTGAGGATAAAAATTCTATAAAATGTCAAGTAAATAAATTGCTTTTCCCTGTTCCATTTTTTATTTTATTTTATTTATTTATTTACAAGGATGAAATAGCTGAATTGAATCAACGTAATTTGGCTGAACGTATAGCATGGGAAGAACATACTAAATCATTGTTAGAATCTCAGTATACTTCTAGAGAGACTATACTAAAAGAACAACTCAAGAAAGAACGAGATCGCTTGTTAGAATCTGCAATTCATCGACTTGAAGCTGAAGCAAATGAAGCAAAGTTAGAAACTGATCGGCAGGCAGAACTGAAAGTGAAGTAAGTTCACATTTTTAAACCAGTTCAATTTACTTCTTTTTTTTTTTTTTTTTTTTTTTTTTTTTTTTACTTCAGACGTGTACGTGAAAAATTTCAAGCTGAAATAGAGGAACTTGAAAGATCAGAGAGACAAGCAATGGAGAAATATTGTCTAATGAAGGTCTGTAAAATGTTTGCATTGTAAAATCTGTGATTATTATTGGTTTACTAGAATGGGTTTTGTGGAGAATTAGTAATTTCAATAGTTGAAATCATGAATCAATTGAAGCTAGACCATAGGATCAAATGAGAATTTCATCATAATGATGACGGTGGTTCAACTTCGTGGATTGGTTGAAGTTAAACATTAACACCGTTGGATACCGGCCAGCTCAGTGGTCTAGTTGGTTAAGCGCCTGGCGCGAGACCGATAGATTCTGGGTTCGAATATCGCGCGAGGAGGGCGTGATCGCAGATGCGCACTGCCAAGGAGGAGTCCCATACTAGAACGAAACGGCCGTCCAGTGCTTCCAGGTTTTCCATAGTGGTGTCTAGCTTCAATGGATTACTAATTTCAACTATTGATATTATTGGTTTACTTGAAATCTGTTGATGAATTAGAAATTTACATTCACCGACTGATAAATATCCCTATACTTTTAGGTTAAATACATTTTATTAGTGAACTTTAACTTTTCAGTTCAATAAAGAATTCAATTTATTGTTGAATGCAAAGATTTTTATGACCAAAAGATTACTTTTTCACATTAGCAAACTACTTGTAACAGTTGATATTGTTTTATTTGAATCTTCCCATTGATGTTTAGGACTGAAATTGTTCAGTCTCTTATTGGCATAATATCAAGTGAATTAAACTTCACCCCATTGCACAAGCAAGTGGCTATGAGGACTCAGTAGCTAAGTGGATAACGCGATGGCGTTTGAAGCAGACGGTACTGGGTTCGAGTCCCGGAGTGAACATCAACTCTGAGATGCAGGTACATCCAGCTGACGAGTCCCAAATAGGACGAAATAGCGCACGTCAAACTGGATTCCACTGCTAGCCACTATCCATCTTTGCTTATAATACTTGTAACAGTATTTTATAAAAAAGCATTACTGTAAACATTTATCTCTTGTATTCATCTCCTTATAGACTCAATTTTTAGATAAAGAACATGAAGCAGATAGACTTCGATCACAGTTAACTCAGAAAGATCAAGAATTAACTGAAATTCGCTTATTATATGAAAAACTTAATCAAGAACGTCAAAATATTACAGATGTAATACGTCAAGAATTTGCTGATCGACTTGTTTATGTAGAAGAAGAAAATAGATCGATGAAACGTGAAATAGCCGAATTGAAAGCCCGTTTAAAAGCTGAACAAGAAAAATATGAAAAAGAAATTGATTCTATTAAAAAGTTAAACAATTCAGAAATAGAAACAGTCCACCAAAAGTAATGACAAACTTTCACTTTGACTTCCCTTATTTGTTTTTGTTTTTTTGTTTTTTTTTTCCAATTTTTTTTTATAGCCCTATTATTTCATGTCATTCATGAGACCCTTGTATTAGATGGTTGGAAAAGTTTTGACAAACTGTTGTACCATAAACTTCGGTAATGAGTTAGTAGTAGTTTTTAATCTACAGCATTTATAATTGAGGAATATTGAATTTTAATTTGTATAGTTTTGTTATATTCCATCTTTCTTGTTGTTGGTATAAATGACATCTACTGATCAAATTCTATTAAGATGTGTGCACTTTGAGGGAGTTGCATCGATATTACCTAAGTCTCAGATTTTAGTATATTTGGAGGCATATTTGACTTAAGACTTGAGATTTTTTTTACATTAATAATAGAATAATACAAACTTCTAAAAATGAATCTATATATGTTGAACTAGGTTAATTGAATTCAGTATGTTGTTAGACAAGCCTTTGGAAATTAAAGGAATATATACTGGGTTCGAGTCCTAGTTTGAACATCTAGGCTGGAATGTAACTAAATCCTAATGGTGAATCCTTAATAGGACGAAACGTGTAGCCTGAATTCTACTGTAGCCTATAACTCAATAAGTGAAAATAGTTTACTCAATGAGATTAGACTGTTCTTGTTGTTTGATCTAAATTAATACAACCAATTGTTTTGCCAAAATCTGCACTGCCAAGTGTTATGAGTAAACCTTGCAGTTATAAATAAATATGTGTTTTATTATCAGAAAGGATTGTGTGGAGATTGTAGTAATTTCAATGATTCAGATCATGAGTCAGTTGAAGCTAGACCAGCATGGAAAACCTGGAAGCACTGGACGGCCGTTTCGTTCCATACTAGGACGTGTAGTGTCTGTCATTATGTTAAGCCCAAATACCTCATTATTCTAACTTTCGGACAGCTCATTCTATTCATTCTATTTGAGTCACATTCTGACCTTGTTAATTATTCGCTTATCAATATCTTAACCGTCTTTATATGAGCGCGTAGGCGTATGCACACTTCTTATCCCGTTACTCATCACATGTCTGTAATTTATTTTTGTGGGCTTATAAATATTGATTAACTCTTTGTTAAAGGAAGAGTTGGCTTACCAGCCATCTCTACCGCGTGTCATTCTTTGCTTCGCTTTCTCATCTTCGCATCGTTCCTCCGTTCGTTCTGTCTAATCAACAATTATACAAAATATATGCATTCAAAACTCCATTCTCGTTATTTGACTTATTTAATTCCGTTATTAACTAACGCGATTTAAGTTAATGATCATATACGAGGATAGGCGCATATTTAATTCCACAACGATCAAATTGGAGTCAGATCACAGGCCACTAAAATGGTGAGCCCGCCACCACAAGCGAACACAACAGGCAACTAAAGACGAAACAGCCGTCCAGTGCTTCCAGGTTTTCCATAGTGGTCTAGCTTCAATTTATTCATGATTTCAACCAGTGAAATATGTGTTTTTAAAACGGTTAGAACGCAATATTCCACATAGAATGTAGTTTTAAAAGTGAACAACAAAAACTATATCCATTAAAACAAACAAAACTTTTCCTTCTTATCGTTATATAGAATTAAAGAGATCATTAAAAAGAAAGAGGAAAAATTCACTATATTCCAAGAAACTTTTCAAATTGAACTTGAGAAAAAAGATCGTGAATTGAATGCAGCCAATCAAAGAGCTCAACATTTGGAAGAGTTGATAGATCATCAAAGAAAACAATTTTTTACAAGTTAATCATTAATACTTTTTAATAAAATGTATTTTGAAGATGTTTTATTTGAAAATACTTAAATGTTGTTTATTTAACTCTTCCATGGCAACTTTGCCTGTATGCTATAGGTTTGTTTGTTTGTTTGTTTGTTTGTTGTTTTTTTGTTGATTATAACATTCTAAAAATTGATCCATGTTTTTTTATGTGATTACTGAATGGTATGCCTTTCCATAAAAAGCATACTTACTTACTTACTTACTTACGCCTGTTACTCCTCGTGAAGGAGCATAGGCCGCTCACATGCATTCTCCATCCAACCCTGTCCTGGGCAATCCTTTCAAGCTCTTTCCAGTTCTTATTCATCCCTTTCATATCTGCTTCTATTTCCCGATGTAATGTGTTCTTCGGTCTTCCTCTTTTCCGCTTCCCTTCAGGATTCCAAGTTAGCGCCTCATGATGCAGTTTGATGATTTGGGTGATGTATGTCCTATCCATTTCCATCGTCTTTTCCTAATTTCCTCTTCAGCTGGAAGCTGGTTTGTTCTCTCCCACAAAAGGCTGTTGCTGATGGTATCCGGCCAATGGATGTTGAGTATCATGCGTAGACAGTTATTAATAAATACCTGTACCTTCTTGATGATGGTTGTTGTAGTTCTCCAAGTTTCAGCTCCGTACAGTAGAACTGCCTTGACGTTCGTATTGAAGATTCTGAATTTGATATTGGTTGAAAGTTGTTTTGAGTTCCATATGTTCTTCAGTTGAAGGAATGCCGCTCTAGCTTTGCCAATCCTCGCCTTGACGTCCGCATCTGAACTTCCTTGTTTATCGACGATGCTTCTCAGGTATGTGAAGGATTCCACGTCTTCCAGAGTTTCGCCATCAAGAGTGATTGGATTGCTGTTCTCCGTGTTGTGTTTGAGGACCTCGGTTTTCCTTTTGTGTATGTTGAGGCCTACTGATGCACACATCACAACAGTGAAATATGAACATTTAGTTAGTTACTGAACAGATAAATAGAAAAAAAAAACAAACATACAAACATAAATTGACACAAAAATTTCTGGGTTTAAGGTTTCATATTTTTTTTATTTTTTTATTTTTTAACACATATATATTGGTACAAGGAGGCACCAAATACGTATGCGCCGCACAGATCTTAATTGATATGTGTGAGGGCTGTGATACTGCCCGGGTGCCCAAATCGAAGCAGGTGGTTTACTTAAGGGGCCACAACCCGAGCCTTCCACTTAAAGGTCTGATCCACAAGACAGTGGAGCATCGTGAGGAGATGCAGTCCCATGATAGCCGTTGAGCAACGATTGGTTCATACACCATTTGTTCCTTCAGGATACTGGAGCCAATGTGCACCATTGGTTTGAGATCCGGTTAAAGCACCGGAAATTCACTTTTCGTTCTCTCATTTTTGTAAACAACACCCCCGCCACGAGAAAGCAGTGAGTAGGACTTCCCTGGCAGGGGCTGTATACGCATGGTCATGTGAGAGCATTTCGAGAGGGAGCGCAGATTCTCCCCACTCTCGGCCGTACCAGAGCGTTTGGGGTTATACTCTTAGCATGTTTGGGAAAATAAGATGATTGCTTTAAATGTTCAAATCTTACTAAAAAAATATGAGGGTTCCAGAAAAAAGGTAGTTCAAGATACTGTATGAAGTCAAATAATGTTTACTCCACTTCTGTCTTATTCATAAAGTGTACGTATTTTTAACAAAAACTTAACAGGACTCTTGTAACACTAGTTATAAAATAATAGCAACATATTCATGTTTGACTTTATTACTTAACATAAAAAGCCAACATTTATAAAAGTTTGGCGGCCTAAGGTCACCCTAGTCATTAAAAATAATTTGAATAGTCGTATTAGATAGTTGCAACTTATTAATATTGAGGGATTTGTGATTATAGAATCCTCATAATTTGAACCACAGACGGATTAAAGCTAAGCATTAAAATCGTTGGATGTAGGTTCACTGATCTAGTGACAGTATTTGCACTCGAGACTTAGGGTCTTAAGTTCGACTTTGGCATGGGAGATCAGAGAAGTGCACTGTTGTGATGTCCCACATTAAGACAAATTGACTGTCCAATGCTCCCAGTTTTCAAGGGTTGTCATTTCTCGATTCGAAGTATGAAAATTAGAAATCAGATTATCACATTTTTAAGGTTTAAGAGTTTTAGCTCCACGATCAAATAAATGTAAAAGCACACGACAAATCTCAAGGTATCATGGTAAGCTAAGTGTGATGATACTTTTGAAAACTAACGTTACTCTGTTTCTAATCCTGTCCGTCAGTCAGCTAGTAAGATATAGATGAGTACGATATTTCTTAAAAACAAATAATGAAGGAGAACTGTTCCTCAGTGAAAGACCTATGCAAACTAATGTACATCAGCACACACAAAACACAGTCCAAATAATCACACAAAATCCAATACAAATCAAATAACACATAATAAACCCTGCTTGCCTTGATACGCTCTGATGATAACCCAATTGTTGATACTACCTTGACGTTGTGGTCTGTGGTTGTCGGTGTTCGATATATTCCTTAAACTTCGTATACAGTTCGTCTCGGTAACCGTCACCAAATAACGCTCCAACGGTATATTAATCAGAAGGCAAAAACGAAGTGTTAGTTACGTTTATTATAGGACCACACACAGATATCCAAAATTACAAATGCGTTAAGCAAGCATGAAATAGTTATGCCGAAAGGCAAACAGACAAGCGAGAGAGAGAGAGAGCAAGAGCAAGAACGAGCGATCGAGCGAGTGAATGAACGAGCGAACGAGTAATGAATATGAATAACATGGACATATATATACATAGTGAAATGAATGAATCATCGAGTCAATTAAGCGGTTAATAGTAAATCTAGTAGCGTGAATAAATGTGTAGGCAGTAAGGCTTTCCGAGCAGACATATTCATATAAGGATAACAATAATAAAGGTACATACATTCGCAACAGTAATAAGGATACAATAAGTTATTATAGTGCAGGTGACTTTGTCCGTTTAATAAGTTAATAAAAGGGCTTAACCGAATTAGGTGAGAGCAAACTCAATTGAACGTGAGTTGCTATAGGCCGGTCTCGCCTATTGTGATGGAACAATCGGGCTATACTGGTTAAAGTAACCGTTCTTTAAGATCCTACTACTCAGGGCAGGTCACTTGAAGAGCGGTGGAACTTAAATCAGCAGACCCAAGGCCCGAGGTTGAAGCCGTACTGATTGTACAAAGGTGTGATGGTAGTAAGGAATATCCCTCAGACATACATCATAACAGCGATGCTGCCTTCCCACAAGGAAGGATGGAGCTAGAAAAAGTCGACCCTAAGAATACAAACCTCACATTGTCCCACATATTTCCGTCTCCAGTGGTAAGGTCTCAAAAAGTATGGAGCTAACACAGAAATACCGACAAACAGGTCATGTGTGATCGGTCCAAGGCAGTTGCCTCTTGGAAATTGTGGTCACGCGCTCAGATCACTAAGAATAACTGTAATACAATTTCAGGCACCCCTAAAAGAACGCTTCTACATTGTGGGCGACCGGAAAATGATAACCACCCTCATATCTCCAACAGCACTCAAGACAACTGAATTCGTAATCGATTTCCCTCTTCAATTCCTACTGATCCTCCTACCTCGACTATCAACTCAATACTTCCCCTTTCGGTTTCCCTTTCAAAAGCCACCATGGCCAACGACTCTTGTGAGTAAAACACTGTTCCAGGTCCAGTGAAACCTCGCTCTAAGCTACATATTGAAGCCTTCAACGCACGCACTTCACGTCAAATCGGCCAGCAGGTGTCCTTGTCTAAGACCCTAGAATCTCGTACCATTGATGTATGCTGCGTCTTCGAAACGCGCATACAGGATCCTAGTGTGATTATTCACTTGACCTCACCTCGCCAAAACGAGGTTGACGCAGATGTTGCTTGAAAAAATATACAAACAGCTGTGACATCTATCAGTGGTCTAAACTAAAGGGTTACAAAAAACCAGTGGATTTCTGCCAAGTCTATTGCATTAACGGATTCTCGTAAACGCATCCCATCAGGCTCTGATGATGATGATAAGCGAAAACAAGTAAGATCTAGGTTAACCAAAAGTCTAAGAAACGGCCGTGAACAGTGGTGGGTAACGAAAGCGAAAATGATGGAATAGACAGTGGCTGTAGGTAACATCAGACAACTTTTCAGACTATTGAAAGAAACTGGAATAAGTCATGTGTAAGTGAGAGTATTAAGGGAGGGGGCGATGTAACAGCGTCAAAATCATTATGTATATTGTGTTAATGGATTCTGTTTTCTTTCTATTGCAGGGCGATCGAGAGTAAATGCTTTAGAAGAGGAAAAACAAGCCTTGCATGCACTGAGCCTGCAGGATGACGCATAAGACTGTCGGTAAACTAACCCCCCCTTCTGTACATTCCCGCGAATTTTAATTTTTGAAATAATAAATCACTGGTGGTTCCATTCCGTGTTCTCCCTGTGTTGTGAAGTTCTCAGTTAACCTTGTGTGTTTGTGGTTTAGATCTTTCAGCTCGCTCCAGTGACTGCTGAATGCACAAGTTACAGCACTATATTTTAATCAGCGCGGTAGTAAATTCGTATATTCATTTATCAAAACATTTATCATCGTACTTTAAACAAGTGATACAAAAAAAACAACAGATATTGAATAAAAATGTGGTTACAAAAGTCACTAAATATACGTCGCCATAAATTGGTTCAATGCATGTATGCACAGAATCATAATTTGTAGCTGACAGACTATAATGATAATTAGATGTATTGAGATTTTTCTGTCAACCAATGATTTCCGAAATAGTTATACATAAGGATGGTAGAACTATATGAGCACAAATGAACGTAATATGTTTAAAATTTGTAATCAGCAGGTCATCCAGTACAAAGTAATCACTATTTCGAACAAGTACCACAAACGCCACCCTTTTAATGGGAATACAGATTCCCGTAATACGTTGTGCGTCTTTTCCTCAGCTCAATAATGTCTGTTCGACTTTGTATTGAGTTGAGTCTCTGTATGGTCCAGAATATACTCATAAGTATTCGAATTAGCGGAAACTAGAACGGACCCACTTCGGCTACCGCAACGTATTCGGCCA